AGTGGTGTGTTTATGCGTGTGTATGAACAATGCGAGGTATTAAGGAGAGACCTGGCCAAATCAGCGCGATGCCAAAAGGGTTTTAAAATAACCCAGCCGGCGGCAAAGGAAAATCTTTTCCGTATGGGCTGGGGAAAAGTGTCATCTGAAACTCTTTAAGGGAGTGTTTCCTCCTCGAAGGTCAGGCGTTTCTGCATCTCGGAGGAAGGTGGCATTGATCAGGAACTAACGACAGCAGCGCTCTGGGGAACAGTTGTAGCCCAGTGCATCTTGCGCAGAAGTTTCCTGGTTCATCCTCCGGCTTCTTCAGGCAGGACTGGGAGAGAATCCTGCCTGAAAAGGTGGAGTGCTGCTGCCAGTCAGTGCAAACAGCACTGAACTAGATAGACCAGTGGTCAGATTCATTGTAAGGCAGCTTGCTACGGTGCTATGCCTTGCTTTGCAAGAAGCGTGGAGCTGCTGCTACAACTGGCAGCCTTGCATACCCTCCAGCACATCTCTGATGAAAATAAGGACGTCCTATTCCATAACAACAACAATTTTATTATTTATACTCTGCCCATCTGACTGCATTGCCCCAGCCACTCTGGGAAGATTCCAATATTTACATATATAAACGTAATACAGTGGACGCTCGGGTTGCAAATGTGATCTGTGTGGGATGCACGTTCGCAACCCACAGCGTTCGCAACCTGCAGCGTTTGCAACCGGCAGCAGCACATCTGCGCATGCGCGGGTTGCAATTCGGCGCTTCTGCTCATGTGCAAAGCGTGATTTAGCGCTTCTGCGCATGCGCGACCGCCGAAACCCGGAAGCAAACCGTTCCAGTACTTGCGGATTTTGGCAGTCCGTAATCCAAAAAAACGCAACCTGAAATGGCTGTAACGTATGACTGTAAAACATTATAAAAAATTCCAGAGACAATAAAAATAATTTAAAAGATCACAGAATGTTTATCGGATCTCTGGTGGAGCACTGAAGTTTGTTAGGTAGCTTTAGGCTCCGCTGAAGTCCTTCGCTTTCTTGGCCCAGCCTACCTCACTAGGTCATTGTGGAATACAGTAAATCAAGATCTAAACCGACTGCAACTTTCCTGCTTCCGGGGCTGTCTTCAGATGTCTTCTAAAGGCGGCACAGTTACTTATCTCCTTGATTCGGGGGTCGCAAAGCTTCAAACACTCTCTGATGGAAATACGTATGTCCTAAGGGAAAACGGGACATTCCAGGCTCAAATCAGAAACTGGGCTGTCTTCTGTAAATCCGGGGCTGTCCCTGGAAAAATAGGGACACTTGGAAGGTCTGGCCTCATGTGATGCTTCCGCCCTCAGTAGCCCTGACTCTGGCACAAGCAGGAAAAAGGCTTCTTGTAGGGACGTCAAGGGGCACATCCCTTTTTGCCTTATAATGTCAGATTCTGCCCTAAATGGGTAGCAGGGATGTGCACCTCTAAGGGAAGGGCCAGGTGCATAGAATTGTAGAGTTGCAGAGCTGGGATGTGGTTGGAACTGTTGTAAACAAAAATTGCCATTTTCCCTTATGGGGTATCCAAGAGCCCATATACAGTCCTTACGTAGGTTTCCTATTGGTAGGAGAAAATAACAGAGGCCAACCAGAGAATATTGAGAAGCAAAGCAGCTAGTAAGCCTGATCTTTATTGATCTGTTGCAACAGGGTGCTCCCCTCACCTGCAGGAGAGAGGAGGGACCCAGAAAAATGATGTGCAAGGCCTTATAAAGACTTCTGAAATTCCCCTGCTGTAGATCAAGACCACCCCCAGAAACATCATACATACATCACAGAAGGGGTGTAACCTAAGACCACCCCTCAGATACATCATACCTACATCACAGGAAAGGCGGTCTAAAACAGAAATTTGAATGTTGTTTTTCTCCTGTCATTGTTTATCTCCTGTCTGGCAGGTTACTTGATTGGATTGCATGGGTAGCCTGGCTAGTCTTTTGTAATGATAAATACTTAGTTCCTGGGCCATGTCATAGGCTCACACCCTATTCAAACACAGACATACCCTTAAGACAGGATTTGTGAAGGAAAAGACAATGGGGAGGCTTTTCCATTTTCCTTTGACCTTGCAGAGAAAACATTTGGTCAGTTTGGGACAGTTTGGGAATCAAAAATGGTTCCAGGTCGGTCTTCCTGTGCTGATCTATATACGTGCTTGGTTGGTACACTTATGAACACGGAACATATATCTAAGACCTCAGAATTCCTATCACAGAACCTAAGAATTGCTTTGGCAGAAGTTTATAAGATGAGGCCTGGCATGGATAAAGGAAAGTTTTCTCTCTCTTCCTCTTCACACTAGATCTCATGGATGTCCATTGAAGCTGGATGTTGGAAGATTCGAGACAGATAAAAGAAAGTTTTGCACAATATGTATTTTTTGTTGGAACCTTAGTTCAACAAAGGCCCTATGTAGTTTTGAGAAAGGCAATGTCTCAAGGTAATGGGGCCTTGAATGGTTCACCTTAACTTTTAATATTTAAAACAATTGCATTTCAATTCTCTCCTTCCTTGGAGGTGTTGCAGGAATTTATGTATAGGTTGGGGGGTGGTTGCCCCTCCAGCAGATATCATGCACATGCAGCCCACTACCAAAATCAGCACAATCACTTTTGTGACTTTTGTGATTTGTCCCCATAAAACACTTCATCACAGTTTCTTCCTATCTATTCAAAGGGCCTTTGCTGCAGGATACCAGATGTAACAATTCGCTGATAAATGTATCTATGCACTGGCTCACTGGGAAAACTTCAGAAATTCATATAGACATGTGAGCTCAGCTACTCAGCAGCTCCTCTGCCTGAGTGATAATTCCTGGCATCCTGATATGTGAGTGCCAGACAGGTAGCCATTCCAGAAATAACAAACCCAGATGAAGACAAAAGGGTGTGATTCACTTGGCTGGGAAACAGGGAAATGTAAGTATCTCTTTTGTTACACTTGATGGGTGTTTGGTGGAGGGCAAGGAGAACCATAGGGCAGGGTCCAGGATGCTCAGATTACTGCTACCAGAACTCCCCTTTCATGATGTAACCATGATGTAGTTTGGGGGCTGTAACATGGGGATTAGCAGGTAATAAAAGTTTGGGGGCTCTTTTGTTCAGGACTTCCATCTTGCTTCGTCTTGCAGTGAGTTGAAGTCCTGTCGTGACATTTTCAATAAAGACCAAGCCTACTGGCTGCTGTTTTGCTCCAATTTTCCTGGTTGGTGTCCTTGCTTTTTTGTCCAAGGGAGCCCTCGGACTTCTCTGTTAACAGTTGTTCTTAAGGAGAGGCTGGACGGCCACCTGTCATGTATGATCAAGATGACATCCCTGCATTGCCGGGGGGTGGACTAGATGACCCTCAGGTTCCTTCCAACTCTACAATTCTATGATTCAGGTTTAATTTGGAGGCTCCTATGTGTTTTATATCGCTGTGTTATGCCCTGGTGAACTGCCTTGATTTTCTTTGGGAAATCAGGTGGGATAAGTAGGATTGTTTGGCTGGTGTTGGGAAAGAAAAGGTTTCTAAACGCTGAGTGGGTTCCAAGGGAGCCAGGTGAAAATGAACAGTGAGCAACAGAACCTGCTGCACTGGTGCAACCCTACACCCCAAGAGTAGATTATATCAACCTCCTCTAATGGGATTTCAGCCCTCTGGACAGGCCAGTCCCACAACCCTCCCTCCCTCCCTCCCTCCATGCGTCACCACAGTCAAAGGTGTCAGCACAAACTGCTGCTGTGCCTGGCAATCATAGTGATGTGGCTCTGTGGCACCAAGAAGTAACTTGGCTCCAGGCTGTGCCATTAGGCGGTGCTTATGCTGAGTCAAGCATCAGGTGTCCATTGGCGCAAGCACAGCTGAACACTTTGAGAGACACAGAGCGGACGACTTTTTGTTCCTTCTCTGTCTCCGTCTCCAAAGCAGCTTGTCACCAGGACCTGTCTTGCGAGACTTTAGAGGGCTACGCCCAAAGAATCCCGTCTGCTCTCTGACCCTCCAGCTGTTCTTTCTACCTGGACAGCTCCATCCAGCTTGTCTCTGCATTTCAGCAACTTCCTTTCCTGTCTTGCTGGGGTTGTTGGTTCCAGCTCTTGCGACAAGCTGCGCCTAGACTGTCGGTGGGGACAGACTACAGTATCACCTATCAACTCTGGTGCTCAAAGCCTTGCACTGGCTGGCCATGTGCTTTTGGGGGCAGGTTCAAGGTTCTTGTATTAATTCACAAGTCCCTTAAAAACTTGGGTCCAGGACACCCGAAGAGACCAAAGGACTGGAGGACAAGTCCAAGGAATGGGAACAAACTGGACCAAAGATCGGCCCAGGAAAACCCTGGAAAAACAAAAACACATTTTCTTGGAGCCAAATCATTGAAGATGGGTCTCCCTGGGGGTGGTGTTTACTACAAAACAGGCCGGCTGCAAACAGGGCCATTGGATTGACACTGCTTACATCATCAAGAAATCTCTTCCCAGTCCCTGGAGCTGTTTTGCAACAGCTTTTAAAATGATCCCTTTTCATCTTAATAAACAATTGATGGAAAGATGTACAAATGTGCGTGTGGTGCTTCAGAAAAGGAACAGAAGAACTGGGTGGGCCAGCTGAAAGTCAGGTTGGCGGGGAGAGAATGAGAGCTGACCGAGGGTTTGGCTTGAAGAATGCACATCGGTCATGCAGGCAGCAAAGCTGGGCTTGTTCCGACGGTGGAAAACCCACGCTGGCCTCTCTTGAAGTGTGACGTCTGCCTCTCTCCATCTTTATACCTTTTCCCCGTCTCAGCTGTTTGTGACATCATTCTTGGCAATGCTAGAGATGATTGTGAATCAGAGGGGCATGTCTGAGTGAAGAATGAAACTTTCTTCAAGCGCTTCAGTGCTATAAATAAGGAGAAGCTTCAGATATCAAGGCGGTGCCATTTTCCTTCTAAACTTCCCCCCTGCCCTGGAGGAATCACTGGCGGTTTGAAATTCTGGTAGGATCGGTAGGGAGCAGGTATCATGTCATTTGCAAAATGCTGCTTAGCACCGCAAGGTAAAACAGATGATTTCCTCGGCCTCAATACACCATCATCCCAACCAGTACTAGCCGCACATTTCAGCAGTATCAAGCTAGCTCGCCTGGTTTCTGATTCCTATGGGTGTGCTCATGTTGCCAGTTTATTGCTGGAATTACTGGGATCACTGTAGGCTTTGCTCTTGCTGCTGTAGCGTTTGCACCAGACGGCAGTAGCCTGGTGCTACATTTGATTCCCTGCTCCTGTCGCTGCAGAATTTGCCCCAGACAGCGCTGGTTTGGTGTCCTATTTTCTTCTCAGCCCGAGGAGTGAGCAGAAAGAGTTCACTCTACAAGTGCCAGCGTGGACCATACAGAAGCAGCAAAGTATTTTCATACCAGGACAAACGACTGCTGTTTGATAAGGTAGGTGCAACCACATCCTTAACAGATATAGGGCACTTCCAGCCCGTTTGGGGTGGGATTCAGTCATGCACTGGTATATTCGGGTTGCATGATTAAAGCCGATTTGGAGCTGCTGTTTTGCCAAAAGATTGGGCTTTTTGCTATAAGGAACGCAACGGTTGGGAGAACTGCAGAGAATAGCACCTGCTCTGATGCAATGTCATCTAGCCTCTCTGCAAACAAATCAGAACAAATGCTCCTTAAATAGCCAACAGCCTCTAATCTCCCTGCAAACAAATCACGCTGAATGCTCAATGAACAGGATGCCTGGAACTGTCCTGTAGTTGGTAAGACTACTATCCTGCTAATACTTTCTTGTGGGTAGGGAAACAGGAAACTGCCTTATATAGAGTCAGGTCAATGCTCCATCTAGCTATACCAAACTGGAAACAGGTCACCAGAAGAGGACATTTCCAGAACTACTTGGACATGCCAGGAATGAACTGGGGGACTTATTTTTTATGCAACGCAGGATGCGCTACCGCTGAGCTATGGTCATTGGTTGAGCTCGGCAGGACTTACTTCCAAGGCTTGTGCTGCAAGAGCGTGGTCTATGAGACACAAAGTCTTGGGTTCAAATCTCAGCAAAATGAAATGCAGCTTGGGCCCATGAAGATTTACCTGGAAGGAAATCCCACTACATTCAGCAATACTATTTGCACAGAAATCCTAAGTATATTTATGTAGTAATTGACATTAAAGGTAAAGGACCCCTGACAGTTAAGTCCAGTCGTGAATGACTCTGGGGTTGCGGTGCTCATCTCGCTCTATAGGCCAAGGAAGCCGGCGTTTGTCCACAGACAGTTTTTCCGAGTCATGTGGCCAGCATGACTAAGCCGCTTCTGGTGAACAAGAGCAGTGCATGGAAACGCCGTTTACCTTCCCGCCAGAGCAGTGCCTATTTATCTACTTGTACTTTGACGTGCTTTCAAACTGCTAGGTGGGCAGGAGCTGGGACTGAGCAATGGGAGCTCATCCTGTTGTGGGGATTCGAACTGCCGACCTTCTGATCGGAAAGCCCTAGGCTCAGTGGTTTAGACCACAGCGCCACCCGCATCCCTAGTAAGTGACATTAGGCAAACCATTATCTAAGCTGCAATTCCTCCCCACCTCCACCTCCACATCTATAGCATGGTGATAATTGTGCTAGCCTACCTTACAGGACAGTTGTAGATTACTGTCTGTAAGATGTTTGGAATAGTTGAAGGACTCTAAATATAAGTCAGCTAGATTTGCGGGACTACAAATAATGGCAGGCATTTGATTTTTTTAAAAAAATCTTGGCCTCATCGCTTGCCTGCTTCCTCAAGGTTCCTCCAGAGAATCAAGTGCTTCAGTTTGGGGACCTGCAAAAATCTGTTTTAGATTTGCATGGAATTCTCTTCAAATCAACTTAGCTGCCAATGGAAATAAGCCATCCACCTGTATGAAAAAATAATAACCTTTCATTGGTTCTGGCATGCACAACAACTCATTTTATGCTGCCTGAAAGGGTTTTGGCACCGAACTGTTTTAGAAAAGAGAAATGACGACTTTGTATTCAGCAGAGTCCTAACAATTTTGTCGTTTGTGTACTAATGCATGCTGTTTGCCAAGATAAAAATCTGATAATTAAGAAATTCCTTTGGTTACACTGTGGAGTTTGAGGAGGTCAGGGTGATGTGGCAATGGGACGGCCAACTCACATCCCGCAATGTTGCGTCTTGTACACAGCCAGATTTTTCCCATCCCTCAAACTGGGATTCAAGACACCACTCCTTACCTGATAAGCATCCTTCCTGTTAGAAGATGAGGCTACCTTCAAAATGTGATTGGTTTTCTCTCCCAGTTTGCATAAGCACACTGTCAAACAATGCACATTTATGCCAAGGCTGTGCATGCTCCCATTTACTCTGCATCCAGTGTGCTCACACCGTTGGTTTGTGGCACTGTGTCCACACAGCATCAGCCACAACCCACATCTATCCTGTATCTCAAGAAATGCTGTGTTCTGATGCATCCCACCCTCTTTCCCAAATGACCTTTGATCGGAGTTGAAAATGTAAGCAATATGAAGACACCCATACTACTTCTTCGCCCACTGGTGTGGATAGACAGTGGGTGACTTGAAAACACATCAAACTGTACCAATGTCTATCATGATGTGAAATTGCTATTTGAAACACAGCGTGAAAAACTCCCTGACCTCCTTGCATTTATGCCGGTAATGTGTGCGTAGTCCAAAGATGTTTTGACAGCAACTTCCTTTTTTTTGAATCTGTTGTGCATACATCTGCAGGGAAAAGAAGGAGTCCCTCTAACAGTGAACTCAGGCCAACAGGACTGGAGCCAAAATGGGGCCAGTAAGAAACAAGGGGGTCTGCTTAAGGGAAGTACAAAAAGTCTTTGAAAAAGACCTAAGCGGGCAAAAATCTCCCCAAAAGGAGCCCAGCAAGGACTGATCACGCCCCGTAGCCACAGAATGTTGACTATCAGTTGGAAAAGAAAAAATAGAAAAGGCATGTATGCAATGGAATATCCGGGAATGCAGTGGAATATCCTGGAGGAGGGCCTGCCTGCCAGGAACCCTGAACAGGAGAATAAGAGAATCATACAATTGTAGAGTTGGAAGGGACCATGAGGGTCATCTAGTCCAACCCCACCAGGCAGGAATCTTTTTGTCCAACATTTAGCTTGAACCCAAAACCCTGAGATAGAGTCTCATGCTATGCTGACTGAGCTAGCCCAGGTTCAACTCTTCTTAAAGCTAAAGGGACTCATGACGATTACGTCTGGTCGCGGACGACTCTGGAGTTGCGGCGCTCATCTTGCTTTACTGGTCGAGAGAGCCGGCGTACAGCTTTCGGGTCATGTGGCCAGCATGACTAAGCCGCTTCTGGCGAACCAGAGCAGCGCACGGAAATGCCGTTTACCTTCCCGCTGGAGCGGTACCTATTTATCTACTTGCACTGGTGTGCTTTCGAACTGCTAGGTTGGCAGGAGCAGGGACTGAGCAACGGGAGCTCACGCAGGGATTCGAACCGCTGACCTTCTGATCGGCAAGCCCTAGGCTTTGTGGTTTAACCCACAGTGCCACCCGCGTCCTCTTCTTAGGTGAGGATAAATGGCAACATTTTGCTGCAGATCCCGCTGTTAAACTTCTGTTTTTAAAAACAGACCTAGGGCAAACTCAGAACATGCTAAGAGGCACTTGTCCTTAGGTCCTTTCTTTGGTAGGAAACACACTTTGAATGAAGTGTGATGTAATAACTGGAGCGCACTGTGTTTAGATGCCGGAAACCCGAGATTCAACTTCCTCCTTGGCTCTGACGCTTGCTGAGTGAGTCACTCTTTCTCTCCCTAACTTCTTTGCAGGCTTCTTACTAGTACAAAACGTTGCTCTGAGGTCCTTGAGAAACAAGCAACAGATGTAACAAACAAAGAACTGGTTCTGCCCAAGGGAATGGCACTTTGTGCATGCTCTGATGCTGTATCCTTGGGTCTTTTTCTTTCCTCTAGGAGGGAGAAACAAAATCCCACTTAGAGGATAGTCAGTGAGAAGGATGTGCTCTGAGCCACCAGGTCCTTAGGTCGTTTTCTGGAGAGGAGAAAAAACATTTATGGGAAAGGCATCTTTGAATGTGCCCTGCCTGAGTCATACATAGGTGGGCAGACTTCAAACTTACTGGATATTTTTTGTTACTAGATCATTGAGCTTCCCTAGCTGGATGCAGGTGGAAAACAGCAGTGGGGTATATTCTTAGAATTATGGAGCAGGGTGCCTCTGAACAGCGTCAGAGCTGAGTGCACAGTCCGGTCCTGCAAAAACCCACTCCTGGTTTTCACAGCAAGCTTTCCACCGTCAGAGGAAGACTATTTTGCTGCTGCTTTTTCATTGGAATGGCTGATTTATTCTGAAATTACCTGAGAGATCTATTAGCAGATCCTGATGCACCTTCAGCAACTCCCATGCTTGATCTGAGGCACCTACTCAGCTCACACAACATGGTAAAATCAGAGTTAATGATTTACCACGATGTAAATGCACTGATCTTGGTCACTTTACTCTCTAGTTGCTCAAAGGAGAAGCAAGCAAGCAAGCTACAATCCCTGGCTTAGTCTTAGCATTCAGACAACCCACGACTAGCGAGCCAAGAACAAACATTGTCTACAGATTGTGGTGTTCTTGGGAGTAAATAAACTCCTGTTCGGATTTAACATGACTGTGGTTTATTTTCCCTGCACAAGCTTATTTGTAAGATTTCTCACCTGGTCCCAGGGTAGACTAACACAATATAGTATAGCTATGAAAACACATAGAATTGTTACGATCCTAAAAGAAGTAAAACCATTAAACATTGAAGCGAAGGGTATAAATTCAACGAAACAGGCAGGTCCCACAAAAATGAAACACCTTAACGTGTCAAAGGCCAAGGTAAAGAGGCAATTCTACAGCATATGCTGGAAGCTGTACAGTGAAAATGGTAGACACACGTCTGTAGGGAGGGAGTTCATAGAATCATAGTTGGAAGGGTACCCAGAGGTCATCTAGTCCAACCCCCTGCAACGCAGGATTCTTAGCTAAAGAGAGATGACCATCCAACCTCTGCTTAAGAACCTCCAAAGAAGGAGAATCCACAACCTCCAAGGAAGGTGAGTTCCACAATTTGGGGGCTGCCACAGAGAAGGCCCTTCCCTTGGCCGCCTTCCCCACACTTCTGTGGGGAAACTGCTGAGAGTGCATGCTATGTGGATGATAAACCCTGCGGAGGTGGGTAGGGATGGAGAAGCAAACCAGGCAAGGCCGGTGCTTCTGCAGCAAGCCATTAATTGTGATTAAGAGTGGTAGACTCATAATCTGGTGAACTGGGTTCGATTCCCCGCTCCTCCACATGTAGCCACCTTGGGCTAGTCACACTTCTCTGAAGTCTCTCAGCCCCACTCAGCTCAGAGAGTGTTTGTTGTGGGGGAGGAAGGGAAAGGAGAATGTTAGCCGCTTTGAGACTCTTAGGGTTGGGATAAAGCGGGATATCAAATCCAAACTCTACTTCTTCTTCTTCAGTTGGGACCCCAGTTCCAAACAGCCCGAGTCAGAATGGCCAATGGTCATGGAATGATGGAAACTGTGGTCCAAAGCCATAACAATAGAGAACCACAGGCTTCCTACCCAATTTAAGGGGGTGTGGGGTGGAACTATGGGTGTCCAAAAGTCCTGGAATTTGACACACACACACACACACACACACACAAATTTGTAAATCTGTCTGTGCTTGGCTACCCAGAGCTGAAATACATGACCTTTCACGTGCCCTTTCAAACACATGCATTTGTAGGGAATCCCAAACTTGGTAGAGAGTAGGCAGGGAGCAGAGTCACAACACACAACCATCCATCATGCGGCAATGGACCATGGATATTGCTCTCCCGGCACTGGATCACACCCAAGTTCACATTTATAGCACAGAGGAAAAGATCCATGCATACGAAAGCTTATACCCAGAACAAACTTAGTTGGTCTCTAAGGACCAACTGGACAATTTTCTATTTTTATTTATTTTTGGAAGAGAAAGAAAGAAAGCAAAGACCTGAAATACAGGACAAAACTGTATCCATGCAGGCCCTAGCATTTTACACTGAAATACGGGACAATCCTGCGTTGTACAGGACAGGTGGGTGCCCGGGTGGGTGCCATGTAGCTGCATGGACCTGGCGCCAAAACACATGGGTGCCCGGCCCCTCTTGTTGGGGGGGTTGGGGAGTTTTGTGGGTGCCCCCCCAAGGAGCTGGCCTCTATGGGTGGCAACCGTAGGACTGGATTACCCTTGGGGTCCCTCCCCAGTCTTCAGCAAGGGCCCTGCGGCCGGCAAACCACCGCCAGAGGCGGGGGAACTCTGCACGCGCTCAGGGACCCCCGTGCGCGCGGATGCAGAAGAGGAGGAGGAGAAGGAGGAGGGAGGCCGCTTGGCTGCGGCTCCGTCGGCTCCGTTTCTCCGCTTTTGCCGGCGCCACGGAGGCCCTTCGGAGCCAGGCCGGCGGCGGCGGCGGCGGGCCCGCCCTCGAGGAGGAGCCGGGCGGTGGGCGGTCCGTGGTCGGCGGCGGAGGCGGAGGAGGAGGCCGGGCCGCCGAGGAGCAGGCAGGCCGCCGGTCGTCGCCTCGCCGCCGCAGAGCCAGCAGCTGCCGTCGTCGCGGGGTCCGCAGGGCGACGCCGCCAGCACCGCCCGCAGCGAAGCCGAGAGCCCCGCTCGCCCCACCGACCCACCGCCTGCCCGGCCGCCCGCTTCTCCCCCGGCACCGCAAGAGAGAGGTAGAGGCGGACCCCGGGGTGCCGACTCCCCTCTCCTCCTGGAGCGCCCCTTCCTCCTTCCTTCGCCCCCTCCTCCCCCAGGCAGCCCCTTTCTCTTCCCATTATTGGGGGGCAGAGGGGGAAGGGGCCCCCCTACTCCCGCGAGGCACCCCCACTCATTTCTCCGCAGGCTTGAGGCGCCCCCCCAAAAGAAACCCCCGAGGTACTCTCGAGGACCGTTCTGGGGCGTCCCCCAAATCTTGGGGTACCCCGGAGATAACCATTGTGAGTTGCCCACCCCAATCCTGGGGTGATCTTGAGGAGCATTCTGAGGACGACCACCCCTCAGTCTTGGGGTGCTATTGAGAACCGTGTTGTGGGGGCTCCCCCAAATACTGGGGTGCCCACTGAGAACCTTTAGGAGGAGAGGGCCCTTCCTGCCCACAGTTTTGGGGAAGGGGCTCGTTATCCTTTTATCTAGGGACACCCCCTAGATCTAGGTGGGTGTTTGCGTCGGGCAGTAAAGGCGCCCCCCCTCCCCTCTGCTTTATCCTCAGCTTGGGTGGGTGAAGTTCTGTTTCTATTATTCCAGGGGGACCCCCCTCCCCATTTCTAATACGATGGGGGATGTGTGGTGGCCTTATTCTCGCAAGAGGCAATAAAACTCCCCCCAATTTTCAGACTGGGGGTGGGGGGGGAAAGAGTTCTCCAGTTATTTCTTTTGGGGGGGCGATGGGCTATGTAGCCCCTCTCCTCAATATCTCCTCAGTCATGTCCGTGTGTGTGTGTGTGTGTGTGTGTGTGTGTATGTATTTTACCTATTGTCATATGAGGTAGCAAAGCTCTCTTTCTCCCCCTTCCCCTTTGATCACTTCTTAGGCTTTTCGCTTTGGGTGGGTGCGAGAAATGGGGATGTTCTTATTTATTTAAAAGGGGAGAGGGGTTGTTGTTGCACAGTTCCTCCCCCAGAATCTGCTTGGGAGCCTGGACTGCAGAGGGGTCCTGTTGGAGACTGCAGGTACCTATCCTCCCCTTTCTCTCCCACCCCTCCCCAATTTAATTTTTTTTTTTTGGGGGGGGGAGAATAGCATTCCCCTTATCATTTCAGGTATTGAAGCCCCTGCCCCCAGTATCTTCCATGCTCCCATTAGCTAGGGTGGTGTGCTTGGGGTGCTGCTGTTATTCTTTAAGGCGATGAGCGAACCCTTTTGTAAATGATTCCTGAGCCTCACTGAAGTTCAAGGTTGTGTGTATGCTTTTTTTTGGGGGGGGTGCATGGGGGCGGATGTTTGTTTTGTCCCTTACTGCAGACAAGTGCCACCCCATTTGTTTGACGGCTCGGATTGAGGACCAGAAACCTCCCTGCTTACTTACACCCACAGAGGATCTCCTTCCTTTTCTTTTCACCTTAGTTCCTAATGACACATCTCTCTATTTTTCTCCCTCCCTCCCTCCCACCGCCCCACCTCCTGCCTTTTTTCAGGATCATTTCCTCTTTCTGTGTCTGCATGAGAGCATGTGAGATTCCAATAGCAAGAGCAACAACATACCCAGCCCTTTCCCAGAGAATAAAGACTTCTTTATCCTCGCGTTAATTGCCCTCTGATATTATTTCTCTCTCTTCCCCTTTCCAAATGTCACAAAAGATGAAATACGAGAGCAGTCAATTTCTGCAAGATAACATGTGTACACTCATTTACAATCAGTTGCCCCGGGTTGCTTCTGCAAGGGATGCATGCGCTCAAGATGATGGACACAAAAGCAGAAAGAGAGGGTTTGTGGGGTTTTTTTAATTCACATGCACCAAGCTCCTTCCCTGCCCCCACTAAATTTATATTAAAACCAGAACAAATGTGAGGTTCTGTGCTGCTCTTTAATAGGTAGATGGTATTTGTCAATGCTGCAACGCTCTTAAGGGGTGTGTGTCTCTGTGTTTTCTCCTCTTCTGATTTCTCCTTTACACCCCGCTAATATTAGGTATCCCGTTTGCCTAAAATGTGAAGGAATCATTGAGCATAGTAGGAGAGATCGGCGGAGTGGTAGATTTCCCACCGTTGTGCTTTTCTTTGGGGTGTGTGTGTGTATGGATTTGAAGGAAGGAAAGAAGGCAGACATCTGCAAACAAAGCCTTGCCCCCCCCCCCATAAGACTGCTAGAGGAGGGTTTCGTCACTGGCTTCAACGGCATCAGCCTGGCATGCTTTGTGCTGAGATAATGTGCTAGCCGGGTGTATGTACAGCATTATGTGCTGATGGAAACGTTCCAGAGAATGCCTCATCTGCGAGAGGGTTGTAGTTCAGCCAGCTCAAATTGCTGATGTATACGAAAACAGCAGCGCGGTTAAAGCAGACAAGAGGGGAAATAAGTCTGAGGCATACTCAAGATCTTCCATTAAATGTTTGATAACAAACTTAATCCGTCGGTCGCATCTAGTCCAGTGCTCTGTTTCCAGTAGCGGTCAGCCTGGAACCTCGGTGTGTGTCGTTTTCCTTTGTTATCCCTCAACACCCCCCAACATCCGGTATTCTGAGTGATGCTGTCTGCTGTGCCCTTTACCTGTCATTGCTAATAACCATTGGAAGACAAATTCAAGCACGATGGACCTTTTTTGGGGGAAAGTCATGTAAGGTTCAGCCTGCATGTATGGGGAGGTGTATAGGTTCTGGCAGCTGCATAAGGTTTTTGGTTTTTTTAAGCATGATGTGACATCGTTGTTTTAGGGTTACTGTGCAAATAGCAACCATGGAAGTGGGTGGGTGGGGGGCACCCACAAAGCACCCACATTTTTCAGCTGTGCTTTGCTGAGAAAAGGTGTCTCCCTGTGTCTTTTAAAATAATATTTATTAAGATTTAAAAGATTACAAAAAGAGAAAATAGAAAACAGCATATTAAGCAAAAACAAAACATCACATCACAATAAGAAAAGAAAAAAATACACAATGAACCTTCCCATAACTTATCTTTCATTTGCTTGTTTCTTGACCTCCTCACACCTCCCTTTTTTGTATTCTAGTTCAGTTAGCTATTTCAGCAAGTCCTTTCCATCTTTTCCAGTTTTTGTCCTATATTTTATCTTAATATAATGTAACTTTACTTTCCCTCCTTTCACCATTTAACAATCTGTTTTTTCTTAATCCTTTATAGCATTTCTGCTAAAACCACATTAGTTCATTCCAACATCCTTCTAACATTCCTTAATTTTACAATGTTTCTGTAAATAAACTTTAAATTTCTTCCAATATTCTTCCACCGACTCTTCTCCCTGGTCTCGGATTCTGCCAGTCATTTCCGCCAGTTCCATGTAGTCCATCACCTTCATCTGCCATTCTTCCCGGGTGGGTAGATCTTGTGTCTTCCAGTACTTTGCAATAAGTATTCTTGCTTCTGTTATGGCATACATAAAGAAAGTTCTATCCTTCTTTGGCACCAATTGGCCGACCATGCCCAGGAGAAAGGCCTCTGGTTTCTTCAAGAAAGTATATTTAAATACCTTTTTCATTTCATTATAAATCATCTCCCAGAATGTCTTAATCCTTGGGCACGTCCACCAAAGGTGAAAAAATGTACCTTCAGTCTCTTTACATTTCCAACATTTATTATCGGGCAAGTGATATATTTTTGCAAGCTTGACTGGTGTCATGTACCATCTGTAAATCATTTTCATTATATTCTCTCTTAAGGCGTTACATGCCGTAAACTTCATACCTGTGGTCCATAACTGTTCCCAGTCAGCCATCATAATATTATGTCCTACATCTTGTGCCCAAAGGTGTCTCCCTGTGTCGATCAAGCCCCAGCCTTGCTGCATGTGGGGATTTACATAGCACATTTCAAGTACACCTTTCAAAGCACTTGTACATAGGTAATCTCAGTATCTCAGTCATGCTAATGATGCTTTATTAATACAGATAAAAATAAGGGGTAAAATGGCCACATATATGGACTGGGCAGTTGAGCTGGAGTGTTGCACATTGGCTCTTATTTTATTTTTTACTGGCTACTTCCAACTTTCTCCTGGTATCCTTGTAACACTCTTTTGCAGTGCAAACCTATATATGTCTACTGGGAAGCAAGTCCCAGCAAGTGGGTCTAGGTATGCAGCCTTATTCTCCCAGTAAGAACCTGAATTGCTGTGGATGACAAAGGAGCAGCTGGTTAATTTCACCTTACTTTTGATACCCCTGGATTTCCTAGAGTGAGTTAATAAACGTGGGTGTGTTTGGAGACCTTGTTGCGGATGATATCGTGATCGTACTAACATGTGCAGCCCAAGCGTAGTCACATTGACTGATAAGTTCCACTGAGTTGAATGGGACTTGCTCTCAAGCAAGCACACACAGGATTGCAGCCTCGGTCTCCTGAACACCATTGGTATAAGGCAAAAACAACCGTGTGGAACCAGGGAAGGAGCTCTGATGGTGTTGGGGTGCTGTTTGGAGCTGAGAAGCGCTTGTCTTCTCCCTTGTTTCTTCTGTGCTGTAAATCCCACATTCCATCTCAAAGCTGCTTTTCTTTCTTTTTATCTTTTAAAAGCCGCACCCCCTATTAATACATGCTTGCGTGTCATGTGTAGTTGACCTCTTAGTACTCTGTGTATGCGCTCATTTGGGGAAGTGATAATGCCTCTCTTTTGGCTTCAGAAGGTTGCAGGTTCAATCCTTGGCATCTCTGAAACCCAGACTGTGTGTCTGTGTGGGTGGTGCTCACTGGGTAATAATAATAATAATAATAATAATAATAATAATATGCTGCCCGTCTGACTGTGTTGCCCCATCCACTCTGGGAGGCTCCCAACAAGGTATTAAGGTATAAGGGAGCTTCCTATTAATCTGCTCTTTTACTTTCTCATCTGCTACTAAGACCAAAGTTTAGGTCAGAAGGCTGTCCTCCTTTTCACCCTGTTAATCTCATGTTTGCATAGTGTTGCTTTGCTTGGTGTGAAGCACGTTAAATAATGACGTGTGGGGTTAAGTTAAGGACACAGTGGATCTATAGAATTTGGCAGGTTGTAAAAAAAGCTCGTGCTTCTTTTATATCTTGTTTTTGTATTGACACTGATCATTCTTTGTGCTATGTATTGAGCTTTCTTTCATTTTCAAACAGTGCCCTGGCCGGATAGGTGACAATCTGTAAATGATATTAAAAAATAATACTGTAATGCATTACTAATGGTTGGAGGTGGAACAGAACACTTGTTCCATTTTACAGATTGGGCTCAGAGCACAAGGGCTGCTGGCCCAATGACTGCACAGCTAATTTAGAATTACCACAGCTGATCTGTTGCGGCTGAAAGAATGCAGTCTTGTTTCCAGCTGGCTAGATATTTAAAATATTACAGTATTTAAACATGTGTTGATTGGAGGTACTTGGTTAAACAGCATATTGGTGGATTATCCAAAACACAAAGTCTGAATCAAAACAGCTGCACCAATCTGATTGCAATTTTAAACACACTTGCTAGAGAGTAAGCCTTACTGAACTCTGGGGGAATATATTTCTGCATAAATATGCTTAGGACCATGCTGCCAGTTGATGTTTTAGCTAAAAGTGGAAAATTGCAGGCGCTCGATGACTGCTAAATAATGTTTATGTTTAGGGATGTCCATATCTTTTGAACCCAGGTTTTAAATCAATTTTCTCACTTGGATATGGTGGTTTTTTTTTGGTGTCTTCTAAAAATGGAAAATGTGGTCTAACAAGCAAAAAAAAAAAAAAAAAGCCTTTGGTTTTCTGAGAGAGTGTAATCTAACTGAGCATCTAAACTCCTGTTCTCCTGCTCCTCTTGTTATACATTAACATTTTGAGAAAAGGTCAGCACATTTAAGTCAATTGACAGGTCAAATACTGTCAGTCGACCGGTCAGTTGGCCACCTGTTTAATGATCAGGGTCAGATATTGCCAATATTCCATGAAGGCATGCTGTCGGATTGCCCTCGACATTTCATCACGGTCTTTTATTTTGCTAGCAAGGAGAGTCGTGAGAGCATCTTTCCCCCAAGTCAGGCAAACACTGAGCAGCAGTGGAAATCTTAATATGAGAGCAACCCACTTGGATTGGACTGAAGTCCCATCTAGTCCGTCGCTCTGTTTTTCCATTGTGGCTAGGCAGAAGCTGCCAGGAAGCCCAACGGCAGAACCCGAAGGCAATAGTCCTTGCCCCCTGTTGCCACCCAGCAAGTGGTATTCATGTTGCCTCAAAATCTGGGAGGCTCCCTTTATCTGAATCTGTCCAACCTCCCCTTTAAAGGTCATCTAAGCTGTTATAGCCCTCGTCACATTTTGCGGCAACAAATCTGGTAAATTTATTATTGTGCTGTGTTAGGAAATATTCAACTTTGTTCTGAATTTATTGGCGGGCAGTACCATTGTGTGATCTGCGGAACTAGTACTACAAGAGAGGGAGAAAAACTTCTCTCTATTCACTTTCTCCATGCTATGCATAATTTTTGCACCCCCTTAGTCATTTCTTAAAAAAGCAAAATACCTCAAACACTTTAGCTTCCGCTCTCTGATCATTTTTAGTTGCCCTCTTTCCACACCTTTTCTAGCTCTCTGATAATCTTTTTGAGATGGAGGGACCAGAACCACATGTTATATTATAAATGTGACTGCATTTATCAGTTTCACCACATTTTTAGCTTGGTTTCATTGCAACACAGCCATAGTTAACTATTTTGCTTTTGTGATTAGCATGCACAATGACGGAAGTATTTACTTATTGTTCTAATAAAACGAGTGCTTTAAAAATCCTTGCCTGTTCTTTAACTGATTCCGGAATACCCAGTACCAAACTATTTCTTGATGGGTTAAATGCCCAACCATATTTTGAGAGCATTTAGTGGGATGTATTATAACTTAAGATCAATTGAAAGAACCTAATGATTGATGTTATCTCATGTATATTTTGGCCTAAGGGGTTTGGCTTTTAAATTTACAATGCTACCCTATCCATGTCCACTTGCATGTAAGTCTTAGTGAGTTCAATGAGACGTACAGGTATGCTTGCATAGGATGGCAGCCTTAATTTAATTTATTTCATTGCATTTAACTTAGAGATGGAGAACCAGCCCCAGCAAGCATGGACAATATTTTGGGGGGGATGCATTTATTGTCCAACAGTTCCCCTTTCCAGGCTTAAGAAGAAAAGAGTCTGTCTCTTACATTAGGGTCTTAGATGCAATCTAATCTTGTAATATTTGCTGTGGCTCCTGGATTCCGTTTCCTTTAGGTACTTTTTAACTTCCAAGCCGGGGTTCTTAGCATTTTGAATCTATCTTTTCTACATGAACCACTTTTTCTACCCATTTAAATTCTTCTCCTCCTCTGAAAGGTGACCTTGTGACAGCTGTTACTGAGAGAGGGAGAGAGAGAGCGGCTTGTGCATATCTCATCAGTAATTTCCACGTCAGACGTGTGCTGTTACAAATCGAAGCGAATTTGAACGATGAAAAAAATACCTGGTGGTGCCCCACAGCCAAAGTGGTTCCTCTTCCATTTACTTCAAGGATTTGCTAGCCTCCTGGAAAAGCTAGTTGTGTTAAGACACAGCTTTAAAGGCATTCTGTGCAGGACAGACAGGCATCAAGCGCAGTGGCTGAACACATGGCTTTGTGTTTTGAGAAAATACGTCTCCTTGGGGCCCACCTTTCTTCAAAGCCCTTGCGTAACCTCCACTCTTCTACAACCACATCAAACTTCAACACACACCTTATTATGCTTGCTTCTCCCAACAGCCTTTTTTCTGTTCTCTTCCAAAATTATAGTCATACCTCAACAGTGTAAGCTTGTTGGGGCAGGGATCTTTTTTGGTGATGCTGTAAAGCACTGTCCCACTAAATCACGCTGTGTAGGGAACATTTATTTATGTAAGTGGGCAGTCATCACCACTTGCTATTGTAATCCAACCCCATATCATTGCGGCAGTTTTTGTCTAGTGTGACGCAGGGCCTGAAGTTACAGGCTGGTTCGTGCAGGTATCCACAAAGGTGAATATCTGAAGCCTCTGAGTGCCTGTAGCATCCACTGAGCGCCTTCTCCCAGCCCTCTGAGCAGCATTATTGCCTGGTCTGGCAGCAAAGAGAAATAAGGGTGCTGTGGAAGTCATACGAACCAGTTCCTCTTGTTGCAAGAAGATTCCGGGTTCCAACAGAGGTTGGTTTATGCTGTTGTTGAGATTGCTGGAAAGGGGCACCCTGTGAGTGGCTGTAGCAGCTGTCAGAGCTGCTAGCTACTACAGTCAACCAGAGGCATCCAGATATGTGGAGTCTTGATCATGGGTTGCTGTGGAGACCATTTCTAGGTTATTCCGTTTCCATAAACTTACAGTTAAAGTGGGTGGACCTGGTACTTAGGTGTAGTCCTGTCTTTATATGATACTATATTAAAAGGTAAAGGCAAAGGACCCTGACAGTTAAGTCCAGTTGCAAACGACTCTAGGGTTGCGACGATCATATTGTTTTACTGGCCGAGGGAGCTGACGTTTGTCTGCAGACAGTTTTTCCGGGTCATGTGGCCAGCATGAATAAGCCGCCTCTGGCGAAACCAGAGCAGCGCACGGAAATGTTGTTTACCTTCCCGCCGGATCGGTACCTATTTATCTCCTTGCACTTTGATGTGCTTTTGAACTGCTAGGTTGGCAGGAACTGGGACCGAGCAACGGGAGCTCACCCCGTCGCAGGGATTCGAACCACCGACCTTCTGATTGGACAGCCTTAGTCTCAGTGGTTTAGACCACAGCGCCACCCATATCCCTATGATATTATATTATAATTTATTAAATCTGAATACCCACCTGGATCTGTAGATCTCAGGGGGGTTCACAACATAAATAAAAACACAATAAAACACAATAAAAACACCACCACCACAAATCAATAATTCCCCTTCACACAAACACATTTAAAAGGGCATAGGATGTAAATCAGATCAACCAAAGGCCTGGTTAAAAAGGAATGTTTTTGCCTGGCACCTAAAAGTGTATAATGAAGGCAGCAGGCGAACTTCCCTGGGGAGAGCATTCCACAGATGGGGAGCCACTGCAGAGAAGGCCCTGCTCTCATGTTGCCACCGTCTGGACCTCTCGAGGAGGAGGCACATGAAGGAGGGCCTCAGAAGATGATCTCAGGGTCCGGGTAGGTTCATATGAAAAGAGGCAGCCCTTGAGGGATTGCGGTCCTGAGCCATTTAAGGCTTTATAGGTCAAAACCAGCACTTTGAATTGGGCATGGAAACTAATTGGTAGCCAGTGCAATCGGACCAGGATCGGTGTAAGATGCTCAAACCGTCCTGCTCTGGCGAGCAACCTGGCTGCTGAATTCTGCACTAGCTGAAGAAGGGCCTCAAATGATCCTTGCAGGGTCCACATAGGCTCATATGGAGAGAGGTGGTCCTTGATTATGTTAGCAGGCTCCAAGGGGTGCTGTGGATTTAGTTGCCCCAAAATGACTGTGATCCCCTCCGTCCACAGATGGGACCTTAGCATCCCCTGCCTTTTGCTGTGTAAGCATAAAAGAGCAGGAAATGACCAAAGAACCACATTACTGTTGCAGGGGCATCAACGGCTAAGCGCTATGTTGCAACTCTTGCCCGAGTGTACAATTTTCAAACTGCTGATAAGCTCTCTGTGCATCGAAAGGGGAAGAAGCTTTAGTCAGCAGTCTCCTTGAAATGTTAGATATTCTAAAGGGGATTTTAAAAAAAGTTTAAGCATGTGATTTCCCTCCCCCCCCCATCCTTATCACTCCCTTGATTAAAAAAAACCCCACAGTCCCCATTCCCAGGGGCTAAGGTGGTTGCCCTCTTTCAAATTCCTTTCAAATTTGGATAGTAGTTGAGCCACCCCTCCTTGTATTATCAGCTGGGGGAAGCTAGCCAGGGATTTAGATTTGGAGCAATCTAGGGAGGAGGGAGCCCACTGCATGAGCTCAAGGAGAACCCCAGCGGATGACAAGCAGCTGAGTGAGTTTGGCAGCAGGGCCAGGAGGCCGGGGCAATCTACCCTGCACCATTTGACCTAACAAATCCCACGCTCCCAAGTAAACGAAAGTCGATAAACTACAAAAAAAGGTGCTTGGGGGTGGGGCTTGCTCCAAGGAGGCTCGACAGCCGTGTGGCTTATGGCTGATGTCTTGCACAACAGGCCACACACCTTTCACCATTTTCTGCTTGCTTAAAATCGCCGTTCAGGGACGATGAGCATTTCCACAAGCTTACGGCCTCAGAAGGCTGCAGGCAAAACCCCGAAAGTGCTCTGCTACAGCTTGAAAGCTGCAATCCCAATTAACATTCTGCATCAAAGGCCCAAAACATGTCATTTAGGTTTGCTTTTTCAAAACATCCCATAAAAAGAAGAGGAGCTGCTTGGACACGCTTTGGTCTTTACACGTGCGCGCACACACACACGCGCGCACACACTTATACTTGATGTTTGACGGCCTTGATCACGAATGCTTGTGAGACTTCTGGAAGAGCTAAACATGGTTTTTATCCTGTTCCTCACATCTCCCTATTTTGGGAGTGAAAACACTTTCTTGGAAGATGCGCCTGTAGAGTTATCTAATCTAATTCACATAGCGTGCTGCCAGCGTGCAGGTAATTAGGCTATTCAGGGCGGACAATCCTCATTTCAGCAGATAAAAGTGAAATATCGAGAATTATGGGGCAGTATTCTGGCGGGGAAGAAGGGTTGCCTGGGAAGAAGGGTGCTCAGGCCCTTCCCAGAGGAGAATAGGGCGGTACAATGACGACCCTTGTAGCTGGCAGACAAGATGCAGCCTTGGGTGGCCAGATCCTGCCACAAATGCTAGCAGCCCAGTTTTATGCCCTTTTGTCTGGCCTTCAGCCTGTTGCACCTGATCTTGGGGCGTTGGAGTTGGCATGGCTCTGGAGAACGCAGCCTTCGAGTCGGAGTCGGGTGTGAAGATCTGCAGTTTGGCCCCAGTGGTCGGTACACGTGCAGTTGCAGCCAGAATCGCCAGGTCCATCCAAAAAGAAATGTATCACGGCTGACCTTTGGGCTTTTGAACGTGCAAAGCCCTTGCAGCTTTGAACTTGGCTGACCCCCCCACCAGCACCCTGTGAGTCAGGCTGCCATTTCTCTTCACGGTTTTCAGTGAAGCTAGGGGCAAGAGCTTGTGAACCCAAAGGCACCAGGCAAAAATCAGTGTCTTTCCTGCCTCCTCTATTCTTTTAAAAAACTGAGTAATTGTGGTTATAGCCTGAGGCCAACGGGAAGTTCACCAGAACTCTATAGGCAAGATATGCTTATATATATATTTGTTTTGCTGCTGCTACTGGAATAGCTCTTTCAAAATTGTGCAACCCAGGCGATCTCGTAGGATATTTGAAGGCGTTTTGGCTTTTCACAGACCCGAGGTGTACCATGCTTCCTACAAGGGCTCAATTGCATAGCCGTCTTTATAAGATGTGGCTTTATTTAGGGGGTCACCTTACCAGCAGAAAAGTGCATTGGAAAATGAAACTTTGGTGATCGTAGCAATATGTAACAGAACCCAGAGACCGTCTAGAGTCAGCCGGAACAGCTAATCCGTGGCCCAGTGAGCGGAAAGTGATAAATGTAATAAACAAAATCTCCTCTTACAAAAAAGGAAGTTTCAATACGACACACAGGAGTTTCTGGATAGGGAATGATGTTGATATTTGGGGGGCGGGTGGGGTGAGAGTGCTGATTTGGGGGGTTTTTGGACAGAAAATGTGCTGGTCTGTATCTGAAAGCCATAAAATGGAAGTGCCTTAGAAAGCATTGGGGCAAACCCAAGTGAGTTCTATGCACAGAGTGTTATGAGATGTTCTAGAAGGCCCAAGTGACTTTCATTTTCTCTTCTTCTGCCTGGTTGGGCAGAGCTTAGCCCTTTTAGCAGCTTAAAATGATTCGGGTGGAGATGTGTTGCCTTTGAAGCTCATGCCACATTAAAACTTGTTAGTTCCCAAGGTGCCGAAAGAGCAAAAAATAACATGTCTGTTATGGGGGGCTTTGTCAAAAGCCTTACCAAAAATCAAGATAAACTACGTCCATAGCATCCCCCTGATCCACCACGATTGTAACTCTGTCAAAGCTTATTTAGGATCGTAATTTGTCCAGCTTCAGAAGGAGTTAGGAATGCTGGTTGTATACTAGTTTATGTTCTGTGCCTGCGGCTATGAGGTCAGATAGTTTTTAAACTAGTCATGGTTTGAACTAACTGCCTGACAGCCATAGGCAAATAGAAAATCCAGGCAGGTGAGCTAAGAGACCTGGAATGCTCTTTTCGGAAGGAAAGTCCCTTTCTTTGCAACCAGCATGAAAATGCAAAGGTCAGGAGGGAGAGAGTGGCTCCCCTCCTTTTAAATAGCCCGTTAGGAGGCTAAGAGATGCCAAATGGGGAACATGGAAATGCAGGTGAATAGTAGGCTGCAAATTTGGTTGTCACTATTGGCAAGTAAACATTTGTTTGCTGAATGCTTTTCAAAAAAAAAAATCAGTGGTGCATTCTAAGGCTTGTAAAGATCTGATTGCACAAGAATCTAGAAATCATTGCTTTTTGTAGCGCTTCATAACTCCTTTCTAAGAACATTGAGCGTGAACAAAAGGAGAAGCTAAGAAGCTTTTTGGTTACTCTTAAGAGGGGAAAATAAAAGGCAGAGGAACAAAACAGAGCCCTGTTTGGCGTACAACAGTTGGTATTAAAATGCAAGTTCAAAAATGCCAAAAGGAAATAACCTGATTAACACATGGGATGTATTGCCAAGTAATGTGGTTGCAAGCCAAGAATTTAGCAGGGTTTTGATCAGATATGATTGCATAATCAGATAACATCCACTCCGGTGTATTTACAATGAGGAGCTGTTTCTGAGGGCATAAGAAGCGGTTGCGTCGGAAGACAAGCCAGGTTGTCTTCAAAGCAAGAGAGCATTTTTCCGGGGAACGGAAAACAGCAACTGCTTGGCTTTCGGCAGCGCAGCGAAGTTTGCCAAAACGTTTCCCATTAGAAGTGCAATGTGCAGGGTGATGCTGTTTCTCTCGCTTCTCTTCAGGACATCTTTGTAAGGTAAGGTAGGGCTATGCCTCTTAAGTAGATGGATACCTGTGGGCTGCTTCTTGGTCCGACTTCCCCTATGCATGCTTTTATTTAGGGCGTACATCGAAAAGGTGACTTGGAAGGAGAGTCAGAGTGGAACCTCTGAGCTACATATCCCTGCAGAACTTGGGATGTGGGGGAAAGTTGCAGGTTGGTGCATGACAGACAGTCCTGCCCTGCCGCATATTGCAACTTTGGAATTTCTTGTAGCGTTGCAATTAATGGATGGGCCCTTGTCACTTTCTGCTATACATTCTCTTGGAAGCGCCTTCGTTTTCTCACGCTCAGCTATACTTGTAGAAAAAGCCCGAGACTTTGGAAACAATGGGTTATACCCAGGTTTAGTCATATGAGTTGGCGTGTTGAAATCCGTGGGACTGAGCATAGTCATCCCTGACTTAAATCCCCTTGATCTCGGTGGGTCTGCTGTAAGCATGGTTAAATCTGGTTTCAACTTGATTGCTGCAGTCTGGAGGAGTTCACCGAAAGCTTCAAACGCATGTGTAAGTACTTCTTTAGGGTTTTCTCTGCAGTGATTCACACACACAAAACCACAGCACTTTGTGTTTTAGAGACCTACTCAGGAAGGTTAAGAGAACTGGTTTGGTTCAGGGATTGTGACCAGTGAGTCTGGGAGCTTAAGAGTTGCATTGTAATAACACATCTAAGGGTTACCTGTGATTGTAGGAAATTTTGGTATGTGTGCATACTTTTTTTTTGGGTAAGTTGTTCTGAGCAAAAAAGCAATTAACAACAACAACAACAACAACGCCAAGGCACTGTTACACACACTACTCTTCCACAGAGAGTGTGACATTTTAGGGACACAGTGCTTAAGCTAGTTTAGTTTCTTCCGGAGGGAGAGATAATGGAATAATAGAATTGCAGAGTTGGGTCCGAGGGCCATCTAGTCCAAACCCCTGCGATGCAGGAATATTTTGCCCAAGGTGAGGCTCAAATCCATGACCCTGAGATTATGCTCTGCTGACTGAGCTATCCCGACTGGAGCTCTAAGGTGCTTCCGTAATAGTTGCGTTTTTAACAACAAAAATACAAGCTGAGCATAGGTGGACGAGGTAGTTTAATCACTCCCTACAGCAGATTCACTGCTGCGCTTCAGAATCCCCACTGAGGCACTTCCCCCACAAGTCCTTTCCAGAACTCAAAGCTATCTTTTCCCCACCCCTCTCCACTTGCCTCGAGTCTCTAAACTGCAGTTTCTTTGTACATACCTACTAGGTTCTATTGTCTCCAGCTAGGAGTTGGGGAAAGGTGAGCCTTATTCAGAATATTCTATAAAGGTCTTTGTATTGAGAAATGGAGACCTCTTGTCCTGGCCCTTAACATTTATCTGTTAATGCTGTGATGAAGCATTGCTCCAAGGCAAAATCCACAATGTTCATAGAATCATAGAATTGGAAGAGACCACAAGGGCCATCGAGTCCATGGTTGTCAAGCCTCTGCTTAAAGACCTCCAAAGAAGGAGGCTCCACCACACTCCTTGGCAGCAAATTCCACTGTCGAACAGCTCTTACTGTCAGGAAGTTCTTCCTAATGTTTAGGTGGAATCTTCTTTCTTGTAGTTTGGATCCATTGCTCCGTGTCCGCTTCTCTGGAGCAGCAGAAAACAACCTTTCTCCCTCCTCTATGTGACATCCTTTTATATATTTGAACATGGCTATCATATCACCCCTTAATGTTACATCATGGTGATTGGATGTCATAACGTTTACCTTTCGATCTAGGCTTTTATTACTTGAGAATTGGTTCGGGGCAGTGCTAGGTGCTGTATAACTGCACCTGTCCTGCCCTGTTGTACCCAAGAGGGAGGAAACTGAATCAGTTGCTTGCTGAACCCTGCATTAATGTTTGTGCTACCCATAGTTCCTGTTGCAGCCCATCTCATGCACACTACGTGAACATGAGTTCCCTTGGAAGAGGGGTTGATAGTTAAACTGCTCTGGGAATTGTAGCTCTCTGAGCAGAACAGGGGTCTCCTAATAACCCTCAACAGATTCCAGTTCCCAGGATTCTTTGGGGGAACCCATGACTGTTTAATGTGGTATGATGCTGCTTTAAATGTATAGTGCAGATGGGGCCTGATTGCTGGTCCATCTGGCCCAGTATTGTCTACCTAGCCTTCCCCAACCTGGTGCATTGGACCACAACTCCCAATATTCCCAGCCAGCAGTGTTGCTCGCTGAGGCTTGCTGGGAGTTGTAGTGCAGAACATCTGGAGGGGAACGGGTCTGGAATGTTTGCTGGGTTGTGCCTGGCAGTGGCTTTCCAGGGTCTCCAGAGGTCTGCTACTGTGGTCCTCTTGAACTGGAGAGGCCAGGGATTGAAACTGGGACCTTCTTCACATACGCCGCATGTGCTCCACCACTGATCTGCTGCCCACCCACATCCAAACCACAATGCAGTGCTGCCCTTAACTCTTTCACAATCCCTGCTGCTCAATTTGGCCACCTGCAAAACATCCCAGCGGCACAGCTGAGTATCTGAGTCCACATGAGGCTTACACTTCTCCCTTCCTGCAAATCCTCTCCTTTCATAGCACAGAAAGCATCTGGATCTTAGTTCAAAGGTGGCTTTGAAGATTGGATTGGTGTAATGGTTTAATTTCGTTTGAGGCTGCACTTGTTTCCGCCTGATCTTTCAAAGCTGCCACGCAGCAGCTGAGAAGCCTGTTCATCTGCATGGTGTTTGGTGGCGTCTGCCTTTAAATTTGCCTTGGAACAGGTGATACAAAATTCCTGGATCTTTTTCTCTGCGCTACATGTGAACCTGGGTGTGATTCAGTGCTGGGAGCGCAGTATCCACAGCCCATTGCCAAATGATGGGTGGTTGTGTGTTGTGGCTCAGCAGCAGAGAACTCTACTCATATTTTTCTGCACACCATCTCTTTAAAAAAGGAAAAATCAGGGTGAGAGTGCTCCAGCACCTGAGCAGGGATGCAAACAGCTTGAAAAATAAAATGAAAAGGGAAGGAAAAAGTCGTATGAAACGGTCAGGCATTTGCCTGTGCCGAGTTGGGGTGGCATTGCCTGCTGGAGCAATACACTGGGAGAGATCTCTGCTTCTAAAATAATCAAAAAAGAAAAATGCATTTAAAAAAAAAAAAATACCCGGCAACAAAACTTAAATTGATCATAGAATGGCATATGTGTGAACAATTGCTTATCGTAAGCTCCCAAGGAAGAACTTATCTGTGCTTAACTTCTGGGATTTTCTGCTGCAAGGTGTCAGGATCAGCCACCAGCTAAGATGGCTTTGGGGAAAAGGTTGGGATAAATCATGGAGGATAAGTCTATTAGCAGTTGTCACTCATGTAAGTTCAGTGCTCAAGAGGCGGTATACTGCTAAGTCCGTGGTTCTCAAACTTTTTTTCTCTGGGCTGCACTTTCAGAATGAAAAATTGCATGTGCCACACTGATTTCTTAATTGATAAGAAATACGCTGGAAAACACAACTAGGACTGTCCTCAGTATCATTTGATGCTCTTGCTCTCATTTTGAAAAAAATACCTTTCCATATTCTCTAATTATATTTTTTATACTATGCTATGCTATACTATACTATAACAATAACAATAACAATAACAATAATAATATTCCCCAGCCACTCTGGGCGGCTTCCAACAAAATATTAAAATACAGTAATGCGTCAAACATTAAAAGCTTCCCTAAACAGGGCTGCCTTCAGATGTCTTCTAAAAGTCTGGTAGTTGTTGTTCTCTTTGACATCTGGTGGGAGGGCGTTCTACAGGGCGGGTGCCACCACCGAGAAGGCCCTCTGCATGATTCCCTGTAACCTCGCAGTGAGGGAACTGCCAGAAGGCCCTCGGTGCTGGACCTCAGTGCTGGACCTCATACTGAAATGTTTAAATGTTCTGTAGATTGTCCTTGAATCTCCCCCCACCCCCGCACTTGCCATCCTCTCCTGCCACACCAGTGTGGTGCACCACACCCGTTGAGAACCATTGCCCTAAGTGCTATACAGAATCATAGAACGCGGGAATCTCAACTAGATCATCAGTGACAGATGGCCACCCAACCTCTGCTTAAAAACCTCCAAGGAATGGGAGTCCACAACCTTCCGAGGGAGTCTGTTCCACTGTTGAGCAGCTCTTAATGTCAGAAAGTTCTTCCTGATGTTGAGTCAGAATCTCCTGTCTTGTAACTTGAAGCCATTGGTTCAGGTCCTACCCTCCAGAGCAGGAGAAAACAAGCTTTGTTCCATCTTCTATATGACAGCCCTTGAGATATTTGAAGATGGCTCTCATATCTCCTCTCAGTCTCATCTTTTCCATGCTAAACCTACCCAACTCCTTCAACCATTCCTCATAAGGCTTGGTTTCCAGCCCCTTGACCATCTTGGTTGCCCTCCTCTGCACATGTTCCAGCTTGTCAACTTCCTTCTTAAATTGTTGACAATGTTGGGAGCCAGCAACAGGGCAGAGCTTCTAGGTGGCATCTGCCCAGCTTCGGTTGTAAATCCAAATCTGGATTTGATGGAACTTTGCTGCAACCCAGCAGGACTCTTCTAATGTTCTTAGCACTCTTGGAATACGTGCCTGGGAGACTTTGGGCTCTGCACGCTCTCCTGAATAGCGTTGGATGCGCTGACTGGCCTGGGAAAAGGAATGGCACATTCCCGGTAAATATTGTGATTAGAGCGCTGGGAAAACGTGATCTCCAGCAGTTCTGAAGAAAGTGTTCCGTGCGACAGCTGTGTGTGTATTGGCACCTGCCGTTTCCTCTCGCTGGTTTCCAGACCCTGAGCATCTTGTGGACTCCACCCGCCTCGCTTCTTCCTCACACCCAGCTGATTTCACATTTGTCCCTGCCTTTTATTTTCAGCTGAGTCACAATGTTGAGCAGCAACATTTTAAAATTTAAATGACTGCGCAAACAAGCAGCACAATTCAGCATCGCTGAGCTAAGCAGTTTTGGATGCTGCTGTTTTTTAAAAAAGGCTTCACTTGAGAATTTCTGCCAGCCCGCCCCAAAACCAGCCTGTGGAAAAGGCCGGTCTTTGACTCCCTCTCCTTTCTCCCTGGGGTGACGCTGGCAAAGGAAAGAGTGTCCTGTCACAGCCCTGCGGTCCCTTTGCGGGTAACCTTTCATTTTCCTAGAGAAGGTTATGAAGGATGACGAAAAGTCCTTTTATAGACTGGCAGACTTTGCTTCCTCCCGAGTCTTTAAAAAAGAGAGAGCAAAATGTCCAACTGGAAAGACTTCGTTCATGTGCAAATTTCCCTTCCCTTTTAAGAAATAATAAGGAAGTTGACCCCGGGGAAAGTCGCCCATTCTCTTTTAGGTCAGCGTTTCTACGGTTTGCTGCTCAAAACAAGGCCGGTCAGAATGGTTGGCCAGTAAGACGCCAAAGAAATGGCCACCACATTCATTGAGAGCCAATTTGCTCCAGTGTTCCTTCCTTTGAAACACGACTTTATAAATAATGCATTATAGACTAGTGGGTGTTTTCAGACCTCAGACGACCCGGTGTGTTGAACAGGGGTAGCCAATGCAATGTCCTCCGAAAGCTCCCATCAGTCCCACTCAACATGGCCAATCATCTGGGATGCTAGGAGTTGAAGTCCATAACAACTGGGGAGGACTACACTGGCCACCCCTCCTGCAGAATGAGTTATCCTCTTATTTTGGTCTCCTTCTCCCTCTGTGCATTTCACCCCCTCTTCTGCTCACTCCTGTCTTTATCCTTCTCTTTGAAATGACTTAAACAAAGGAAAACGGTGATGGCATCAACCTTTCATTAGGTCCCGACTCACCAGTTGCTGATCCATGGAGTTGATGGGTGGAAGTCAGTGTTGCGCTAAAGCGGTTGTTCTATCAGTGTGAGCATTTCTGCTTATCAGACTGAGTCATCTCCCGTCTCCTCCCCACTGTGCCCTCTTCCAGGGCATCTCCCCACCTAAGCAGATTTGGGGAGGATGCAAGGGTTGCAGGGGATAAAGAACAGGGGAGAAAGCCCTATTGCACTAGCCAGACTTAGTTACACTCTTCTATTAGCTCAGCAACTTAGCTGAACCCAGCCCGGCACTTTTTAAACATTTCCCTAGACTTCCAAATATGACGTGTTTCACCCATGTTACCATAGAGTTGGATAAAGGAACTCAAAGAGAGCGCCCCCTAGTTTGGCTCCCTGCCAGTGCAGGAGGGCCACTGCTGCAACATCCTTCCCCTCTTGCTGAAGAGATTGCACATAGGGAGCTGTATCCAACTAAGCTACTCTCAGAGTAGACCCATTTAAATTAATGGACCGAAGTTCACTGTGCCCATTATTTTCAGTGGGTCTACTCTGAGCAGGACAGACAGTGGAGACAAGCCGTGTCTGCTCCTCTGCTTTTGCCTGAGCTGATCTCTCCAGTTCTGTTTCCTTTTCTTACTACGGCCCCCTTTTTCTTTTGGATTTCGACTGCAGCTCCTGCCTCTTTCTCTCGTCTTCCTAATCCCCAGCTGGACTGGATAATGAGCTCCACTTTTGCTGCTAAGTGACCAGACCCTGAACCCAGTTGTTGGCCCTCATATGTGCTGCTTTGCTGGAGGTTACTCTAACTTGGGCCACTTACATACCGTCGTTTTCTGAGATCTGAGGGCCCTTGTAGAGCATGCCCAGCGACAGGAGGCGGGGGGTTATTTGAGTTCTCCAAAGACATGATTCATGCCTCTTTACCTGGCAGAACATGCCTTAATTTGAGTGTTTGGAGGCTTCTGCCTGTTCTGAGTAGTGTTTTTGGAAGTGCCCCTTGGCAGGTAATATGCTCTGCCCATATGGTAGCAATCAATTCCACCCTCGTAGTCGGAAGCGTTCAGACCATATGCCAACGCGCTTGGTGGCTTGTTAAATAAACTTCTGCTTGTCAACAACTTTGCTGGGGTTTTGTGTGTGTCTGCGTGCGCTGGAATTGAAAGTGGCCTTGTGGTGATTTGGCCAGCTAGGAACAAGTTCGTTTTGCCCCAGGGGCATGGCACCAGTGAAACTAGGTGGAGAGCAGTGGTGGGAATCTGCAAGGCTTTGATCAGCATTTATATTAATAGTTCTTCAGCCCAGAAATTATTCATTTCCTCTCTCCCTTGCTCCTTTCAAGTAGTGAGTGCTGGTGGGAGAAGCTGCCTGTGTGGTGCCCGGTGCCAGGGGCTGGCAGAGTTGGGCATCTGTCGGGACCTCCCCCAGCAGTTAAGGGGCCCACTCCCCAAGAGCATTCTTGATTCTTGCGTTCTTGATTCTCGCTTGACTCTAGGCCCAGTCTGGCTAAGCCCCACATGTGAGGTGCGTCTCCAAATCCTCTTTGTGTTCTTCGAGAGAACACTGGGGGCACTCTCTGAGTTTGCATGTGCCTCTAGGCTCTGCCACATCTGGGCTGCTTATGGGGCCCTCTCGAGCAGAGATGCCCAAAGGCTTCCTAGAAGCTGACGCCATCCCTGGCTGATGAGCTTATTATTCTGTATTGGGTGGGAGTCAAGACCGTACAGGGTGCTTTACCGCAGACAAGACAAATAGAGCCCCGCCCTGACAAGCTTACAGTCTGAATTTCAACATCCTGTGTCTGAATGTTCCAGGCTGGGAAACATTCAAACATCAATTAAAACAGCAGGAAAACAGATAAGCAGATAAAGCTCCTGATATTTATATAAACAGCCTGTTATTTTTTACCGGCTCTTTTTTATCTGTGTTTATATTGCCTGTGTTTTTGGTTTTAGAATTTTATGATTGCATTCCACCCTGATATCATGTATTGATGAAAGGTGGCTTTAAAACATTGTCAATAAATGAAAACATTAAAAAAATTAACCGGCACATCAGCTGTAACATAATATTTCATCCCAGCTGTTATTTATTTCATGCCCGATTCACTTTTCCTGTGATCGTGCTGGTCTGCCTCAAAAAATCATTCGTAAAGACATTTCCTCGTCGGGATGTGTTTATTAAACAGTTTTACATCCTGCCATTTCCACCACTTAGGCCTTTGAGGCGGCTCAATGAAGTTGCTTACTGTCTCAGTGGTGGGACTTCCACATGTAGCTCTTATCAGTGCTAGAAATTCCCCAGGCGCCAGGCGCGTTTTGCAACTGGCACTGGTCCAATTGTGACCACGTGGAGATACCTGTATGGCAAGCTGGCAACTGGCATCTCCATCTGGCTGGCCCATCCATCCTTCTTAAGCAGGTAAGCAGAAGAGCTTATTTATTGCATTCATATCTCACCCTTTGCCCCAGGGAACAGTGGCTCACTCCCCTCCTCAGTTAATCCCTACAACGACCCTGCGAAGTAGCTTCAGAGGCCGTGACTGGCCCAAGGTCGCCCAGTGAGCATCCTGACGGAGTGGGGATTCGAACCCTGATCTCCCAGGTCCTGGTCCGACACTCTTAACCACTACACCACCCTGCTTTCTTAGAGTAATTCTGCTATGGGGTAGCTCTATAAATTGAGTATGTAGGTCACTATGGGGAAAACAAATTGTCACATAGAGAAGGATCTGAAATGTTTTCCTTGAAGCTTGAATTTGTTCTGGATTGTTTGCTCTGCCCCTGCCAGCCGCTTGCAGGATCCCACGTCCTGCAGAAGGTTGTTGAGAAGGGAATGCAGCTCTTGGGCTGAACGGTTTTCCCCGCCCCTGCCTGAAAGCATCTGGAAAACTTGTCCTTGTGGGTTGTGTCGGTGCAGTTGCATCCTCCGCAATGGACTGCTTGTCCCTCTTAAACAGCCAGGGTTGAAAGTCAAAAGCATCGGATCTACAACGCAAAACAATTTCAGTTCACAGAAGCTTCCCTTGCCCTTTTCACACTTTGTGGTTCCCGACGGCCACCCTGCCAGCATCTTCTCTTCCTCAGCATTCCTCACATTCTGCAACCTGCTCTGAAATGTTGACTTTTCCAACTTTCAAATTTCCCCTAATGTGGGGCGCTAAAAAGTTGTAACAGGACTTGGGGAGTTCAAAAGATATTTCGGTTAGATTAATATAGTTTGGTTTTGCTTGGCAAGTGTGATGCGTGTAAAATTGCATAGAAATCATTAAGAATGATTGCAAAGTAACTTCCGGGGTGGCGCCATCGGCAATGGTGGACTCCCTCTGAACTGGAGGGACTAGCTCCGCGCGAAACGGGTCTTTTCCGCTACGGCGAAGCAGGGACCCTTTTAAAAATCACAGGCGGATGAAGCCTGTGACCATGGGACTCGGCAGGCACCCTTAGCGCCCCCCAACCCCCAAAGGAACCCACTAACGGGCTCCGAAGCGAAGAGGGGGAAGTGGCGCGGTGCTGTGAGTCGACTGCTATTTCCGTGGAGCGAAGCCGCATAGCCGTTGCTGGAGAGCGCTGCCTTTTTCCTGGGACAATTTGGCTTCTAAAATAAGCACCCGTGAGTACTTAAACTTGGAATAATTGGACTTTAAATAAGGACATGCGAGCAGAAAGGAATTGGACTTAAAAATTTACTTCAATTTGGTACTGAAACGGGAAGGTCTAAACAGGAAGTCAGCCTTCCATTTCTTTGTAGACAGAATAAAGCAAAGACAACGTAAGCTAGAGCCCAGAAAATCGCCTCTAAAGGATTGGCTTTCATCATTTAAAACTGCTGGACCCCCCTTCAGCAGCAGGAGAAGAAGGGGGATCTTTTTTGGACTGTTTAAACCTGCAGAAGTGAGTTTAAAGTAAAGTAACTTTCCACCGTCCTGATCCTGGAGAGGGTGTCAGGACTGACGTTTGAAGCTCATTGACCAGAGACAAACGCTTTTGACAGATAGCTAAAAGAAGAGAAACATAGTGATTCCATTGTTTCACACCTTAAAGGAACAAATATTGACAAAACATCTGAAAAAGGAAACTCTGTTGCTAGACTTGTCTTTAAAAGAAAGATCAAATAGAAGTTTTCCCCCTAGAGGGAGACTGTGAAACTGTAACCAACTCCGGGGAGCTGGCAGCTGTTACAGATTACAGTCGTGGGAATAGACATCTGACCTTGCAGGACAATGTATTCAGAAGCTCTGTTGTGTGCTTTCTATAAAACAAATGCCCTACTGGAACAGCTACATGAGAAGACGAATTTGATGGCTGATTCGATTAGAAATTTGGAACAGTCGGCGGGAAATTTGGAACAGGCAGTGGGAAAATATGTGGAGCCCACCCAGGAATTAAATCAGGAGTGTGCCCTGACAGAACAGGCCCAACAGGAATATGAGCTTTCGGATTTGACAAATGAACTTGGAAAAAGCCAGATTTGGAAAGGAAAAGTTTGGTTTGGTTTGGAAATGGGGGGTTGGATAGACCCCCCTATGCAGGGATGTTTGGACTTTTCAAGTCTGGCAATGGGCCGTGAGATGTTTGGGATTGTGGGGGCTCTCAATTTTGAAACATGTTTTTAAATACCACATGGAATTTAGTGTCGATTATGGAAAAGGGGCTGATCTGTTGAGAAGGGTCAAAAATATTGCTAAGCTGGAGTTCCCACGAGTGAAACGAGCAGGAGACAAGGGAAAATACAGTTACAAATATGAAGAAGAGCTGCGGAAGGGACATGGAAGAGACTTAAGGGCCTCAGATATAAGGTTACCAGGTTAATGCGCTAGATCGATGGGATAATAAGGACTGACAAAACCCGGGACCAGGAGGAAGGGACGCTGGATGAAGATTGGATTTTTTTTTATTTCTTTTTTTTACTACTAGGACTGTTTTATAAAATTGATGAATGTTAGAAAAATGTTGGAATGAAATTACTTGGCTTTAGTGAAAATGTTTAAGGAATTATGTAAGAATATTATGGCTATGAGAAGTTGGTAAAAATAAGATTTAAGTTTTAAGTTTCAAGGTTTTTTATAGTAAGATAAGATTAAAATAGTTTAAGGTAATGCAATGACAGAATATTATGAAATATGGAAAGGATTTGCTGTGACAACTAACAACCAGGACACAAAAAAGGGAGGAGGAGGAGGTCAAAGAAAGAAGGTAATGACAGTTGAGGAGTTGAGAATAATGGATTTGTTTTTAAATCTTTTTAAATGTTTGTGGTGTATTTTTGTTTTTTTTCCTTATTTTGAATTTGTATTTGTATTGTTGGAGGTGGTTTGTTTTTCTCTTTTTCTACCTTGTTTTCTTTTGTAACTTAAAAAAAATAAATCCCCCCCCAATAAATATCATTAAAAAAAAAAAGAATGATTGCAAAGTATTTGCAGTTATGTATGTATGTGTGTTTGTTTATCAACCAACCAAGCAATCAATTAATCATTACATGACATTTTCTGAAGGTAACATTAAAACTGTTTGGTTTTCTGAAAGAGGTTTATGTGCTTCTTCATGAAAGATAGACTTACTAAGCTAAGATAGACTTACAAAAAAATAACAGCAGATTTTAATTCCTTGCACCCAAAAACATATTTTTAAGACCCTTCATTTAAGAAATATGCAAAAATTAAGCTTCGCCCCTTAAAATGATGCACCATACTGCAGCACAGTCCAAGGGGATGGACTTTCAGGATTCTTTGATTCTCTTATTTTAATATGCACCTGTCCCTGACTCAGTATGTATATTTTAGATAGGATCTAAGCCGCCCGAGGTTCCTTGCCATGAATTCGTTTGGTACCCAGGGGTAGGTCAGTATCGCTCATCCTTAGTATTAATGACTTACATTACAAGGTTGTCACAAAGGTGGCTACTGTGAAGCATTTGAGAGTAAACTTGCACCTTAAAAATGCAGCTATATGGTCATGGTCTTGCAAACACGTGTGCAAATTTTAGGAAGAGGTGCTAAAGGAAATTTCTGAAACAGTAGCCCTTTAGAACCCAAACTGTGACAGTTTTGGATGCATCAAAGACAGACTTAACATGTAAACCACTCATTGTTTTGCTAGCTGCTCGTTTGACCATATCACAGGGCTGGGACAAGTCATTGGGCTTTTCTCATTTGGTTCAACGTGGTAGCGTTTGTTTTTATTTCTGAGAAATTTACTCATAAACTAAGGGTATCTCGGGGTGCAAAATCCATAGGGTTTTGCAGCCATTTGTTACTTATATAACAGGCCAATCAGGAATGGCAAGTGATGAAATACGGCTTTATATGGCATTCACAACCCTTGTTCGGCGCTCTTTCTGTATCAGGCCAGTTTTTGTTGTAACATCTAATTCATTGTGTAGTCTCTTGAGAATGACTTTGTTTTTATGAGGTAACGGCTGTGAAACTTGTGTGTCCCCCCCTTCCCTTTATTTCATTTCATATTTCTTTTACTATTATTTTAACTTTGCAGTAAAGTTTTGAAAACTAATAAAACCCTACATAGAACAATTCTGGCTGACACGTTCAGTGCGACAAGAGTCGCAGCCTGCAGCAGTTCAGAACAGCAGGTGTCTGGGATTCACCCAGGATTCCTTTGTGGAATGCCGATTAACCCGGGAAAAGGGACATTGCACAAAATGTTTTATTTGTCGTTCCTGGAGGTTTGAGGGCGGCCTTCAGAAGGAGGGAGAGGCAGGGCAGGATCCTGCACGTCTCTCTGTGTTTCTCTTGCCCACTGGTGAGAGCACACGGCGTTCTCTTCCAGGCAGTGTGCTGTTTGCCTAAAGAGACAACCTGCGATTTAAGTCCAGTGAGTTGATAATGGCTTAGTACATTCCCATCCTGCCTTTCTTTCATCGCAGAGCTCCAGGCTGTTATATGGGGTTCCCACGGCAGTCATCTACCCAGGCGCTGGCCAGATCCAGAACTGTTTGCCTTCTGCAAACCGGCTGCATAAAGCGCCAAGATTTCATCACTCCTAAGAGCTTTTCCCCCCAAAGAGAATGCCAGACAGGGTGGACTGTGCTGCTCTTGGGCTAACTTGCCTAAGCAGGATGCGCGTGTGTCATATTTGTAGAGCTCGCTCTGTATGTTTGTGTTCTGCATTTGGGCGGATGAAACCTGAACAGAAGTGGTGTGAGCTGGCTGGAAGGGCAACCCCCCCCCGCCCCTTTACAGGTCAAAAATGCCATGCTTCACTTTGGTAGCCCTTCCCAACTGCAAGATTTGGAGCAGGCAACAGGCCACTGTTAGCTTAAAAAGCCCCTGGAAAAAAATAGAAGCACGGACCCTGAATTGGCCTTGGTGCTGGAGCCATGTCAATTCTGCAGTTCTGCAGTTTCAGCATGAGCGTGGAAATAAGCACCAAGCTCCCCAAGAATTGACTTCCATTCTGGGAAATGAAATAGAACACATTGGTATGGAAAGCTTCCTTATACGGAATCAGACTGTTAAGGAGGCATTTTCATCCCTTGGCCTTTCTCCGCACCCCCTTCTTCGAAAACACCTCCTCTCCCCAGCCAAACCCTTGGGTTGATTGTCAGGAAATGCTTGGGGGCTAGTTGGGCAACTTCTTCTGCTTTTTCCTTTCCTGGTGGTCTTCTCAAGTTTCCAGGTGGCCTTATAGGAATCATCAGATAGGATTGAGAGTCGGATGCGACTTTGAACTCACTTCGGGCTGGACTCCTGCCTATCTGTTAGTAATGGAGCTGATAGCATTGTCTCTGAGTACCGACTAATCTAATCATAGTGGAATAGAATTTCTCCAGGCCACACTGGGACTTTTAGCAAGTTGGGAAATGGCTACAAAACTTGCTAGCCCCCCTCCCTAATTATATTTGTCATTTGTGGCACATGGAATGCCTAGGTGGTGAGAGGGGAGAAAAAGAACCAACTTTCTTGCAGTTTGCTGAAAGTTCCCTACTTGGTTTCCTGGAGGTGATTCCTACTTGCTGCAGGTAACCAGACGAGTGGCTGATTTGCAAGTTCATTAAGGTAAAGGTAAAGGGACCCCTGAGCATTGGGTCCAGTCGCGGACGACTCTGGAGTTGTGGCGCTCATCTCGCTTTATTGGCTGAGGGGGCCGGCGTACAGCATGTGGCCAGCATGACTAAGCCGCTTCTGGCGAACCAGAGCAGTGCACAGAAACACCGTTTACCTTCCCACCGGAGCGGTACCTATTTATCTACTTGCACTTTGACGTGCTTTTGAACTGCTAGGTTGGCAGGAGCTGGGGCCAAACAACGGGAGCTCACCCTGTTGTGGGGATTCGAACTGCCGACCTTCTGATCGGCAAGCCCTAGTTCATTATAGACCCATTATTTATTGAAAGCCCCTTTCTACAGTTTCATGCTAACCCGCAGAACTAGTTGTGTGGAAAATAACCAGTGTGGGTGTACCTTGTACGTGCTGGGCACCCTGAAAACATTTTAAATGTCTCTCAAAATGTGAGTCCTCAGCTATCGCTTTAAACAACAATATTACATTTTAACGCAACCTGATACGCCTTCAGTTTGTTTTGAAGCCAAGCCTCACCATAGTTTTTTCTGCAGTGTGATGCTGATATTGGAAGAGCTCGCTGGTCCAAGCTTTCAAATTCTTCCTTTGGCTTCTGATGGTACTTATGCAACAACTTCTTTTTAGGGTTCTTTTGATGTCAGCATCTCATTGTGGCATTCACGGATGTCTTGGGCAAGCAGAGCTTGTCTCACTGATTGAATTGGCCCTTGATGTTCTCCGTGCAATGCTTGTATTGATCGCCTCATTCCATTACTTTCCAGCTTTGTTGGCTAAAGATGGGTGAGATGAAGCAGGCTGTGAAAACACCGCCTTTAAAAACAACCCAAATCTGTCGCATTTGGTTGATACAGGAAATTGCACAAATGGCATTTCAGAAGTGTTGATGTGTTTGCCAGCCGTGGTCTGGTTTCCTTTTTTATATTTGTGTAGCTTTTGAAAAATTTGTACAAACAGGTGGGGGCCAATGAAAAAACAGCAGAGGGTAGAGAGGAAGGGGAAAGAAAACATTTTCTTAACACCTCTCTGCTTTTGCCTTTGCACCTCACACCTGGGAGGCAGACTCTTTGGCTCTTCTTTTCTGTCTTCCGCAAGCTTCCTGTCTCGAGCAACTTTCAACATCCACATGGGATGTCTGTAAGACGTTACTTAGAATGATAGAATTGTAGAGTCCGAGGGTCATCTAGGCCAACTCCCAGTGTCTAGCCCTGCAGCCTTTATTCAGCTGACATGTCTCTGGGATCTTTTCATATTGCCTGCAACTTTTCCCCAGGCCTCAGCCTGCCCTGACACAACTCCTCCTGCGATATCTTTGTCCCAGCGAAACCGACAACTTCCTCTTCCCCCACAGAAGATGACCGCAGACATTCTCACAGCTTGGCCCCTTGAGTTGCTGCAATCTTGGGAGGCAAAATGCTGTGCCCTTTTAGGTGTTTTCTCCATTCGGAGTTGCAGTCTTTGCCGCTGCATGTGCAATAATACTACATGGATCTGCAAGAACTAGTTGGGCTACCAATAGCCCAAGACCAGAAAGCAACAACAATTCCCCTTCATCTCAGGACTCATCAGGCAAGGAGGATCTTGTATCTTTGCAGCACCTCAGATAAGCAACAACTGGGTGGGATTTTAGATGGGCATGCTATTCCAGGTTTCAGCTCAGAATTCTCTGCTACTGTGTGGCTCTTTATGCACTCATAAGCGTGGCACACTGTGTAATTTGAACTTGAAATGCTCCTGGCTCCAAGGCCCTATCATCAACTTAGCTTACATGCCACTTAACTTGTTTTAGAAGTTCAGACCTTTTTTTGGCACTGTGTCCTCAATTGTCTTTCCTGTGGATTTGCACAGCGATCGAGGAAAGGGTTGTGTCTAACCAACGGACTCTTCCCTGTCTGGATCAGAGAGTGGGGTGGGGTGGGGTGGGGTATGGGCATCTTCTCTGTAGTTATGGCCTGCCAATTTTCCCTCTGGGGTTTTTTTTTTGGGGGGGGGGATTTCAAGCCGGCATCATCACAGCAGGGGGTTTAGTGGGTGCTGGGCTGTTCATGGGTAGTGATAAATTGTCTGCATTTGCTGCCTGCTTGAAAGCCTGGAAGAGAAGGGCACATGTCTCATGAGCTGCCTTTGGCTCTGGTGGGTGGGTGTGGCTGCCCCCCCCAGTCCTCTTCACCCAACTGTTTGGCCCTCCTGGAGGCAGGGAGGGCTGTTAAAAGAATTTCCTGCAAGGTCCCTGGTTCATAATTTCTCTTCTGGACTCTGAAATATTTCTGTGTGTTTCCCTTGTGACAATGAGGTCCTCTCCACCTGCTGCCTACAGCTTAGCACTGATAGATTCTCAGCTGCAAAGCTTCGTGTGAAGAGGCTGTGTGTTTTCATATTTAGCTTCCTTGCTCTTTTCCAACCAGGTCAGCTGCCATGCCCCTTATCTTTATGCCCCGAAGCTTATGTTTTGCGGTTGCCGGAGAGGCAGAAGGAAGGCTGAATCATTCCTTTGCTCTGCAGGTTTTTCACAGAATGTGTGTGTGTGGCGTCTGGGTTTTCCTCTACCGCAAGATTGGCACCTCGGGAGGGTCTATATGTCTATAAAAAGACATGCAAGGGCAAAAATGCATGTGAATTTTCTGAAAATATCATCTTTGATGACTGGGTGGATGCTTTTCTATTCACCAAGCCTTTCATTCCCGCAGAATCAGAGGCATTTATATTCCAGGCCGGTCTTGCTTTCCTTTCAGTATCTCCCATTGAGAAGGTTTGGCTCTTGTTTCAGGATCCTCGAGTCCTGGGACGCCAGTGTTTCTCCAGAATTTATTGCTGGAACAGGGAGATTGAAAAGCGACCTGAAGGGAAGGGAAAAGAGGGAGATAGGAAGAGAAAATTGCCAGCCTAATGCTCCGAAACTACTTTGTGTCCCCTTTCTTGGCAGGTTCCTTAGAAAGAGAGCTTGGACGGCATGCAAAGTAGTGAAATATCTGCAGACAGCACTGATGATCCTCTTAGTAGTGGCCTACGGAGAAAGCGACAGCCGCGAATAGTAGTTATCGGTGCCGGGCTCGCGGGCCTCTCTGCGACAAAAACCCTCCTGGAGAATGGTTTCACGGATGTGACTGTCCTCGAAGCGTCTGACCGAATTGGAGGCAGGATACAAAGCGTGAAGCTCGGTAAGGGAATCATTTCCTTGCAAAGTGGCTTCCGGTTCTTGACCGGCCTTTGCATAATCACCGTAAGAACAGGACTCAACGTTAAGGTCCGTTTAGCCCTTGTGACCTGTTTCTCATGATGGTCAGTCTCTGGGAATCTCACAGGCAACTGAGCATGACAGCCAAGAGCCCCCCTCCATGGTGTGTGCCCCTTGCACTTAGGTTTAGTGCCTCTGGACCTAGGGGCATTGAGCTATTGTCATTCTCCCTATTTATGATTGTCAGAAGTTTGTGCCGTTCCTTATGTAGCCAGAAATGGCACTATCCATGTATGAGAGGGAGGAATTAGCAGGCAAGGCTTGTGGGGAAACCCCAAAGTAGGCAGAAGTACAAAAACATCTTTAGGAGAAGACAGTATTGAAGCGGTGGAGGTTCAAAAATAACCCAAAGAGGAGGACCGAGTGAGTTCAGGGGCTGTAGAATGCTGTGGGGATAGGGGTGGCGGGAACATAATGGAGTGTCCCGGAGGAGGTGCTGGCTGGCTGGCTAGAATGAAACCCCCTACGTTATGTTTAATGTCATGCTTGTTACAGCTGATCGATGTGTCCTCCGTGAATTTGTCCAGTCCGAACAGTGTAGGAAGATTCTCCCTCTTTTCCTAGCAAAACAGATAAATACTACTCAGAGTGTTTTATTAGAGGGTGGGGTCCTTTATGCCCAGTTCACAGGGCTCTGCAAACTATCCCAGGATTTACCATGGCCTCGTGCCTTTTCCATTTCATTTTGCTTCAAAAAAAAAAGTTCCTTCGCTCGTCTCGGCGCACGGGGATCATTGTAGTTGTTATCTCAAATGCTCTTTGTTTTCACACGTGGGTTTTTGAGCTGTACTTGCTGCAGCCGGCTTGGCATGCAAATCTAAAGCCGTACCATTGGCCAGAATGGCGACGCGCAGCGTAAACTCCCCCCCACTCCTTCCGCATTTGTGTCCCTATAAATTGCACGCATTCCAGAGGGGAGCGGTGTTGAGTCTGTTACAGCAAAAACAAAGGAGCCTTGTGACTGCTTAAAGGCTTATCTGATCTGTGGCGGCAGAACCTTTCCCGGGCTGAAACCCACATCATCAGATGTGTGAAGCGTTGCTCTCTGGTGGCAGAGAAATATTCCTGAGCTTTGGGGAGAGAGATCACAGACTATCTCTTTCATTTTATGGGCTGTTCACACTCTCCTCCATCTCTGTCCGTGTGTAGGGATCGATCTGCAGGCTGAGGATAATATTTTGTGCTTGTTCCATAACACACCTGCCAGCCTCCTTTTATTTGGCTGGCTATCCGGAAGGGCTAACAGAGACCTATCTAGCATCCTTAGGGTTCAGTGATTAGCACCTGAGTGCCAAAGGTCCCAGGTTCCGTCCCTGGAAGCTCCAAGTAGGGATGAAAAAGATTTCTCTATGAAACCTTTGAGCAGCGCTGCCTGTCAGTGCAGGGCGGGGAACACAGGGGCCAAATGTGCCCCTTCACTTGGCCCTTGGGACGCTCCCTTCACCTCCTCAGCTGTGCCCCACATTCCCAACCCTCACCAGCTGACCGGAGCAAACTTGCGGTAAATCACACCGAGAAAGCTGGAGTGAACTATTAGCAAAACAGGATCTGCATAATGACCACAGCAACTCAGATGGTGCCCCATGAAGCCATTGCTGAGACTATAGGTCCCGGCCTCCCCACAGCCGGCTATGTCTCCTCCTCTCCAGGGTTTCCTCCCCCCCCATGTAATCTAAGACTGCGCCTGTGTGTCTGTGTTTGCTCCTCCCTCTTCATGCCTCTCCTGGTTCTTGGAGGCCAGCAGGAAGGGGAGCTTGTTGCAGCAGGAAGGGGAAATTAAAAGCCTGACCCATTTTTGGCCTCCCTGTTCTCCTGCTTCAGCCTCTGATTCTGGGCTTTTCTCTGCCACAGACTCTCCTTGCTCACTAAGCCCTGTTATCTCTTTGGCTTCCGGCTCCTCCTCTTCCCGCTTTCCCCCTCCGACCACTCATTGTTGTCCCACCACCAATCCCCAGGCTCAGAGCCTTTGTGCCTTGGGGGTTCCCCAGCTGCTGCCTCCCACCATTCCTCTGCATCCATGATGCCAGCTATATTCTGCATCCTCCTTGAGTGTCGTTGCCCAGCTGAAATGTGTCCTTAAACACTTAGCTATGCTTGTCTTGCTTGTCTGAAGGAAGGATAGAGAGGAGTCGTGAGGATGGGTGAAACTTTGCTGTACCAAGGAACAGTTAAAGTAATAGAATAATAATAATAATAATAATAATAATAATAATAATAATAATAATAATTTATACCCTGCCCATCTGGCTGAGTTTCTCCAGCCACTCTGGGCAGCTCCCAATAGAATTAGTAGAATTAGTGATAATAATTATAATTAATAATAAAGCGATAAAACATCAAACATTAAAAACTTCCCTAAACAGGGCTGCCTTCAGATGTCTTCTAAAAGTCAGATAGTTGTTTATTTCCTTGATATCTGATGGGAGGGCATTCCACAGGGTGGGTGCCACTACCGAGAAGGCCCTCTGCCTGGTTCCCTGTAACCTCACTTCTTGTAGGGAAGGAACCGCCAGAAGGCCCTCGGAGCTGGACCTCAGTGTCTGGGCTGAAAGATGGGGGTGGAGACACTCCTTCACGTATCCTGGGCCGAGGCCATTTAGGGCTTTAATGGTCAGCACCAACACTTTGAATTGTGCTCGGAAACGTACTGGGAGCCAATGTAGGTCTTTCAGGACCGGTGTTATGTGGTCTCGGCGGCCGCTCCCAGTCACCAGTCTGGCTGCTGCATTCTGGATTAATTGCAGTTTCCGGGTCACCTTCAAAGGTAGCCCCACGTAGAGCACATTGCGTAGTCCAAGCGGGAGATAACCAGAGCACATTGCGTAGTCCAAGCGGGAGATAACCAGAGCATGTGCCACTCTGGCGAGACAGTCCGTAGGCAGGTCATTCATCCACATTTTTGCCTTAACACAGAGTCAAGCCATTCGTTTGTCATTCTCAGTATTGTCTATACGGACTCTCCAGGGGTTCAGGCAAGTCTCTCTCTCCCAGCCCTGCATGGAGATGCTGGGGATCGAACCTGAGACCTTCCGCATGCAAGGCAGCTGATCCATCACTGAGCCACAACGGGAGGATGCTCTGGGGAAACTTTGGGCAGAGCATGTCCTGGCTGCACTGCAAATGACTTCCTTCTCTGCCTTTCTCATGGCAGTGAGCTGGTTTCCTTTACTATTTGGCCGTGCCCCTGTTATAATCACCGGAGAAAGGGGCCCTAGGCCGCCCCCCCACTTTCTGCTCCTTGCAGAAGCCCTGACATCACGCCCTGCGGTTCAGTCGATAAACACACCAGCAGTAAATTAAAAGCCGAACATCTGAGGGAAGTGGAGGGGAAAGGATGCCTTGCAAGCCCAGCATCCGCCTTTTCATTCAGGAGTTGCTGCTGAATGCTTGGCACCGGCCTGCGGATGGGAAGTGGGTCGTCCGCTGCCGATACGCCGTGTCAAAAATAGCCCCCCTGGCAGGGTGTGCTGCCAGACAGAAGGGAAGTGCTCCATGCTCCGAGCCCTTAAGGGAGCCATCGCGTCACTCAGCACACCTGCGGGACGTTTCCTGGCTGTGGTCTTTATATATAGAAGGCCGGAGCTTCTCTGCACACAAGAGGGCAGGAGCCTCAAAAAATAGCATAGCTGCCCAGATTTTGTAGCGGACTCTGTGCGCTTCCTTGCTTCTGCAAGTTGGGGAGTCTGTACAGTGGTACCTCAGGTTAAGTACTTAATTCATTCCGGAGGTCCGTTCTTAACCTGAAACTGTTCTTAACCTGAAGCACCACTTTAGCTAATGGGGCCTCCTGCTGCTGCCGCACCACCGGAGCACGATTTCTGTTCTCATCGCAACCCGAGGTACTATTTCTGGGTTAGCAGAGTCTAACCTGAAGCGAATGTAACCTGAAGCCTATGTAACCCGAGGTACCACTGTACTGCCCTGGCTCTGTGCAACCTACAACTTCGCGCACAAAATTCAGCATTCTTGTAGGGCCGAAGGGCGTGGGAACGGCCACTGTTACAGTTCCCCATCTGCAAGAAATCTTTCAGTGAGGTGGCACCTTATACTTTCGGACTCCCTGCCTGTTGGTATTCTCAAACCTCTCCCGTGAGACCTGTCTGGCCCCCACCCCCATTTCCTCCTGTGATTGCAGAGGCCTCGTTTTAGCCTTACACAAGGGCAGTTCTGCAGAAAACTCCTGCCCTTGGGGGGGGGGGGCGCAGGGTTGTTTTATTATAAAGGTAAAGGGACCCCTGAGCATTAGGTCCAGTCGTGGCCGACTCTGGGGTTGCGGTGCTCATCTCACTTTATTGGCCGAGGAAGCCCGAGTACAGCTTCCGGGTCATGTGGCCAGCATGACTAAGCTGCTTCTGGCGAACCAGAGCAGCGCACGGAAATGCCGTTTACCTTCCCGCCGGAGCGGTACCTATTTATCTACAGTGGGACCTCGGGTTACATAGGCTTCAGGTTACAGATGTTTCAGGTTACAGACTCTGCTAACCCAGAAATAGTATCTCGGGTTAAGAACTTTGCTTCAGGATGAGAACAGAAATCATGCTCCGGTGGCGCAGCAGCAGCAGGAGGCCCCATTAGCTAAAGTGGTGCTTCAAGTTGAGAACAGTTTCAGGTTAAGAACGGACCTCTAGAACGAATTAAGTACTTAACCCAAGGTACCACTGTACTTGCACTTTGATGTGCTTTCGAACTGCTAGGTTGGCAGGAGCAGGGACCGAGCAACGGGAGCTCACCCCGTCGTGGGGATTCGAACTGCCAACCTTCTGATCGGCAAGCCCTAGGCTCTGTGGTTTAACCCACAGCGCCACCCGCGTCCCATGTTTTGTTATATTCCTCTGGAAATATGCATTCGTTCCCAGCTCAGGGAAAAGAAAAACAGCAGCAAAAGCATGCGGGATGTAGGTGATTGCAGCCTTTGCTTAAAACATACCCACGACTGCGGTCGTTGTTGCATTAATTGCAGGAGACTGCGTACTTTCCCCCTTCCATGCCTCCAAGGGGTCTTTTAGTCAGGAGGAGCATCTGTTCTCTAAAAGGATGTGATTAACGTCACACTTTGATGTTGTATGTTTGCACCAAGCTCATCTGCTTTGAGGACTCTGGCTTAATGAGGTAGTAAACATTACAGGTGGCCTCGGTTATTTTTAGCCTGACTCGTCCCTCTTCTCTGCTTTGCACATCTGATGCTGTATGGAAAGCTGGTGTCCTCGGCACTTCTGAAGCCATCGTGAGCGCGGCGCTCCTGGCATCTTTGCAAGGCAAGGAGGATGGCGGCAGAGCTGATGGTCCCGCCGTCAGAGCGAGGGTCTCGCTTTCATAGATGCCCCCGCCTCAGTGCGCATGGGAATTCCCTTATTTATTTATTTTTTAATTTCATTTTTTACCAACCAGCAAAACACAAACAGTGAAATCCCCCAGGCGGCTAATACATTGGGTATACGATATTCAATAATATACATATTCAATAATATTCAATAATAACATATTCAAATTAACCATACATACACTTCTATATATAACACTCTTCCTTCCACAATAAGGCAATAAGTCGCCACATTTGGGACTTTTCTGTTCAGAGAAGTGGCGAGTAGCAGGCGACAGGACAGAAGTTTGCAAAATTATGTGTGGCATGGAGAAATTGTCATGGAATCAATAGAGTTGGAAGGGACCACATGGGTCATCTAGTCCAATGCAGGAATATTTTGTCCAACGTGGGGCTCAAACTCACAACCCTGGGATTAAGAAACTTCAGCTGGTGCAGAATTCAGCGGCCAGGTTGCTCACCGGAGCAAGATGGTTTGAGCATCTTACACCGATCCTGGTCCGACTGCACTGGCTACCAATTAGTTTCCGGGCCCAATTCAAAGTGCTGGTTTTGACCTATAAAGCCTTAAATGGCTCAGGACCGCAACACCTCAAGGACCGCTTCTTTCCATATGAACCTACCTGGACCCTGAGATCATCTTCTGAGGCCCTCCTTCATGTGTCTCCTCCTCGAGAGGTCCAGAGGGTGGCAACACGAGAACGGGGCCTTCTCTGCAGTGGCCCCCTGTCTGTGGAATGCTTTTCCCAGGGAGGTTCACCTGACTCCTTCATATACACCTTGAAGGTGCCAGGCAAAAGCGTTCCTTTTTAATCAGGTCTTTGGTTGATCTGATTTACATCCTATCCCCTTTTAAAACATGTTTTTCTTTTTTTTTTGGTGGGGGATGCTATTGGGTTGTTTTTATTTTTACTATGTATTTTGTGGTTTTATATCTTGAATTTATTCTGTGAACTGACCTGAGACTCCCGGGTATAAGGCGGTATCGTGGATAGAGAAAAGCTTTTCTTCCTCTCACAAGACACTAGACCTTATGGACATCCGAGGAAACTTGAGTGTTGGCAGATTCAGGATGGATAAACTGTACTTGTTCACGTAACTAAACTGTGGAACTTGCTTCCTGAAGAGACAGGCGTGGTAACCAACTTGGAAGGCTTTAAAAGAGGATTAGACAAATTCATGGAGGAAGAGAGGGCTATCGATGGCTGCTAGCCAGGATGGGAGTCAACAATGCTTCTGAATCCCAGTTGCTCTGTGGAAGGGAGATTGCTGATTTCCCACAGGCAACTGTTTCCACACTGTGAGAACAGGATGCTGGACTAGATGGGCCATTGGCCTGATCCAGCCAGGCTCTTATGAGGTCCCTATGGCAAAGGCTAGTATTGGTCAGTGGGAGGACATGGGGACCAGCACTGTGTGTTTAGGAAAGCTTTTAATGTTTAATAGACTATTGTATTTTAATATTTTGTTGGAAGCCGCCCAGAGTGGCTGGGGAAACCCAGCCAGATGAGCGGGGTATAAATACCGTATTTTTTGCACCATAACACTCACTTTTTTCCTCCTAGAAAGTAAGGGGAAATGTCTGTGCGTGTTATGGAGCGAATGCCTGCGGGTGGCGGGGGGGATCTGCTGCAGTCGTGAGCAGAGGATCCATGGTTCCCCTTCCTTCCCTCCTCCATGGTTACAAAGCATGGATCCACATGGATCCTCAGGATTTTTGCATTGGGCTACTCCAAACTCACTGTCAGATCACATGTCTGTGGCCACAGCATAAACCACAAAAATCATATATCCACTATTTCGTTTAGAATATTTTTTTTCTTGTTTTCTTCCTCTAAAAACTACGTGCATGTTATGGTCTGGTGCGTGTTATAGAGCGAAAAATACGGTAAATAAATTATTATTATTATTATTATTATTATTATTATTATTATTCAAGCATCCTAACGTAGGACTTCCTTCTCTCCCCCCCTCCATAGAAAACGCTACTTTTGAACTGGGAGCTACGTGGATCCACGGTTCCAATGGAAACCCCATCTATCATCTAGCAGAAGATAATGGCTTACTCGAAGAGACGACAGACGGCGAGAGGAGTGTGGGTCGCATTAGCCTGTACTCCAAGAATGGGGTGGCTTATCACCTCACCAACAACGGTCAAAGGATCCCGAAAGATGTGGTTGAAGAATTCAGTGATTTATACAACGAGGTTTGTCGCCGATGAGTTCCTAAAGCAAATTTGTAGGCAGTACGGACCCAGCAGAGCAGTTTGCACGGTTTCAGGGTTGACCAGGGAGCTTTCAAAGAAGGGGTCTCTGAGGTGTGTTCCCCCCACAGGGACACACCTGCATGTAATATTCCCCCCCCTCACCCTGCTGAAATTACGCTTGAGCAAAGCTTCCTTCTATCAACACAAGGCTTTTCTGAAGCGTAATGATGGCAGAGGGATGAGGGAATGGGGTTGTTTTGGGATCCAGGCAGAGGGCCTTCTCGGTAGTGGCACCCACCCTGTGGAACGCCCTCCCATCAGATGTCAAAGAGAAAAATAACTACCAAACTTTTAGAAGACATCTGAAGGCAGCCCAGTTTAGGGAAGCTTTTAATGTTTAATAGCTTATTGTATTTTAGTGTTTTGTTGGAAGCTGCCCAGAGTGGCTGGGGAAACCCAGCCAGATGGGCGGGGTATAAATAATAAATTATTATTATTGTTATTATTATTATTATCTCCCTGACAAAAAAACACAACCCAGTGGGCCAGAAATGGCGACCCCACTCCCAGCCACAATTTGAAGCCTAAGAAGCTTTCAATTGACTGCAAGAGAAGGTTTCTTTCAGGTCTAATAACAATCAAGGAGAGGCATTTTCTCCCCTGCTGCTGGTGTGTGTCTCAGCTGGGGAGAGTTAACTCTTTCCTTCCCACTTCTAACACCCCACCTACCCACCCATTGCAGATTGTGTCTCCCCTCAATTAACCTGGGGGCTGGCCTTATTTTGAAGCCAACAGAAGGTCTTTTTTTTAGCCTAATCGTTGCTGTGTGTGTAAGTGTGTGTAAGACAGAAGGATCTTCCTGGAAATTGCAACTGGCGTTAGAAGGTTAACTCTTGCCTCCCCAGCTATGCTCTACAGGACAGTCGTGTCCTACCCCCATCCCCAGTTAAGAGTAAAGGTAAAGGGACCCCTGACCATTAGGTCCAGTCGTGGGCAACTCTGGGGTTGCGGCACTCATCTCGCTTTACTGGCCGAGGGAGCCAGCATGACTAAGCCGCTTCTGGTGAACCAGAGCAGCGCACGGAAACGCCGTTTACCTTCCCACTGGAGCAGTACCTGTTTATCTACTTGCACTTTGACGTGCTTTCGAACTGCTAGGTTGGCAGGAGCTGGGACCGAGCAACAGGAGCTCACCCCGTCGTGGGGATTCGAACCGCCGACCTTCTGATCGGCAAGTCCTAGGCTCTGTGGTTTAACCCACAGCGCCACCCGCGTCCCACTCCAGTTAAGAGTGGACGAGAGCAAAAACACCTTTTTCCAGGCCTAGTTCACTTCTTGCTCTCCACTTAATTGTCATTTTGTGTGCGGGGAGGGAAAATGTGGTTGTGTGGTTGTGCATGTGTGCACTGTTGCAGTTTGTGTGGTGTGCGCAACAGGTCCCCCAGCTTGCAATTGTTGTTGTTGTTTTTAATATGTTTTTATTTAAGCTTTTCCCTGTTGCAAAACAAACATATAAACAGGGAAAGGTGCATCTGCCGTCTCCAGCCTGCAGTTGTTCGTACATGCACGAGAAAGTCTGGTGACCCGAGCAATCCGTCATGACCCACTTGGGACTGTTGCTCTTAAGTTTGTCTCCGCTGGCCTGGTGGGTTTCTCTTTCGGATCCTCCTTTGGCCAGCCACAGGTCCAGCCCCCACCTGACACCCCTCCTGTCCAAGTTTCAGGGTTTTCTGAGGTCCTGTTTCTTGACTCGTGCAAATCTGCTTTAGTGTGCTTTGTCTCATTTTATCCTCTCCGGGTCCTCGAGAAAGTGGATTAGGTAGAGAGGTTGAGACGTGCATGAGGCCACCTAGGGAGAGGCAGTTCATGAGATCCGTCACTCATAAATTGGCGCTTTGCTGCCTGTGTATGTGAAAGTGGGAAAGGATCATTTGGAATCACACCAAATAGTGTGATAGCTCTCTCTCCACAGCTGGAGGCAGCGTTGTTTCTGAACACCAGTGGCTGAAAGTTACAGGAGACAGGGCCACTCTCTCTCTCTCTATTTTATATTAACATATCATTTTCAACAATTATTAAACATACTTTTATATCTTACACAATATTTTTGACTTCCATCAATCACATCTGAAAATTTTCCAATCTTTTCCACTTAATTTATATTTCTTACTTTCACTATTACATTTAAGTACCATAACTAATGTCTGTCTTCTTTGCAATATTTCATATATTCCTCCTTACAAAACTTCTTGTAGTCCTACTAGCGTAATTTGTTGATTATGGTTGCTTTTCAAATAGTTTGTATATTTCCTCCAGTCTTCTGTGAATCTCTGGTCCCGCGGGTTTCGAATTCTTCCTGTCATTTTATCCAATTCTGCGTAGTCCATTAGTTTCGCTGGCCATTCTTCTTTCATCGGTAATTCTTCTTGCTTCCATTTCTGGGCCAACAATACTCTTGCTGCTGTTGCTGCGTATAAAAACAGTTTAATGTCCTGTCTATTGGTGTCTTCACTTATAATACCAAGTAAAAATGCTTCTGGTTTTTGTTTTTTTTAAAAAAAGTATATTTCAACATCTTTTTCATCTCATTATATATCATTTCCCAGAAGTTTTTTACTTTCTTACATTCCCACCACATATGATAAAATGATTCTTTTTCTTTACATTTCCAACATTTATTATTCGTCTTATACATTTTAGCTAATTTCACAGGTGTAATATAGCATCTGTACATCATTTTCATCAGATTCTCTTTCAAAGCATTACATGCTGTAAATTTTATTCTCTCTTTCCACAACCTCTCCCATTATTTTAGCTGTATATTATATCCAAAATCTTTGGCCCGGTATATCATAACCAATTTCACGTCAATCTAGAAGCCTTTTAAAAGAATATAACACATACAGTGGTACCTCGGGTTAAGAACTTAATTTGTTCTGGAGGTCCATTCTTAACCTGAAACTGTTCTTAACCTGAAGCACCACTTTAGCTTATGGGGCCTCCTGCTGCTGCCGCTGCGCCGCTGGAGCACGATTTCTGTTCTCATCCTGAAGCAAAGTTCTTAACCTGAAGCAATATTTCTGGGTTAGCAGAGTCTGTAACCTGAAGCGTATGTAACCTGAATCATATGTAACCCGAGGTACCACTGTATTCATGGAGGAGAGGGCTAGCCATGGCTACTAACCATGATGGTTATGCTCTCTCTCTCCATCTCCACAGTTCAGTGCTTCTGAATCCAAGTCACTGGAAACCACAGGAGGAGAGAGTGTTGCTCTTGCGTTCAAGAGCAGCTGGTTTCCCAAAGGCACATTGTTGGCCACTCTGAGAACAGGATGCTGGACTAGATGGGCCACTGGCCTGATCCTGCAGGCTCTCCTTACGTTCTTACCGGAAGCCAAGAGTGGTAGCTTGCCCCTGTGCATCCATCACACATTTGGCAAAGGGAGGCGGCTCAGTGGGTGGGCATTTGCTTTGAATGCCGAAGGCACCAGGTTTCGTCTCCTGGTAGGGCTGGTGGAGACCCCTGCCTGAAACACTAAGAGCTGCTGCCAATCAGCGTTGACCATGCTCAGCTAGATAAACCAATGGGCTTACTCAATATTAAGCCTGCTTCCTGCGTTCTCTGGTGTGGGAGGTGAGCTTTCCAAATAGATAAGCACCAACATGTGGCTTCGCTGAACTGAGCCTCGGCTACAAGACTGAGTGGAGAGTCAGACCTGGGTTTCCTTCTTTGCAATAGTAATAATAATAATAATTTATTATTTATACCCCACCCATCTGGCTGGGTTTCCCCAGCCACTCTGGGCGGCTTTCAACCGAATATTAAAAACAATACAGCGGCAGACATTAAAAACTTCCCTAAACAGGGCCGCCTTCAGTTGTCTTTTAAAAGTAAAATAGTTGTTTATTGCCTTGACATCTGCTGGGAAGCCATTCCACAGGGCGGGCGCCACTACCGAGAAGGCCCTCTGCCTGCTTCCCTGTAACTTGGCTTCTCGCAGTGAGGGAACCGCCAGAAGGCCCTCGGAGCTGGACCTCAGTGTCCAGGCTGAACGATGGGGGTGGAGATGCTCCTTCAGGTATACAGGACCGAGGCCATTTAGGGCTTTAAAGGTCAGCACCAACACTTTGAATTGTGCTCGGAAACGTACTTAAAATAACATGAAGAGGTCAAGCCCTGTACCGTGAGCCAGACTTGATATCTGTCCTTTTCACTCGACGGTTTCTCATATATGTGTGTGTTGGGTCCCACGTTGGGCAAAAGATTCCTGCATTGACCCTTGTGGTCCCTTCCAGCTCTACAGTTCTTGTTCCACAGTCCTATGTGTGTTTACTCGGAAGGAAGCCCCTCTGAGTTCTGTGCTGCTCCCTCCCATGTAAATCTGCCAAGGGCTCCAGCGTTAGAGGTTTCCAGCACTGAGCCTGCCTGCGAAAAGCTATGGGGGCTACTTTGGAGATGTATTAGTTAGATCCTCTTAGAACATTCCTAGCGCCACTCAAAATACAGGGAATTAGGGTCACGCAGCTGACTTAAGCTCTCCCCCTACTCCCTCCTCTTGGGGTTCTTCAGCAATTGGTTCAGATAAGTGTTTGAAGTTTTGAAAAGTAGGCCCTTTTTGTACAAAAGGAAAAGGGAAGGGCAGTCGAAAACAGGCTGTGGCTAATTGTGCCTCTGCCCAGTTACTTAATGTATTTTAATGTGGTTTTGCTCTCCTTGTGAACGTGCAATCTGCTTACGGCCAGCGAGCGGCTTATGCAAGCTGCCTGGTGTTCTGCTGAAGCCAAGGGTTGCAGCGACTTTGATATCTTCTTGTAAGCCAGGGGTTCTGATCTCCCCAAAGCAAGAGGGATGGTCCCTGGTGAAATCCCCCAGTTCCATTTAATGCAGCAGGAGGAGGAAGTTGGGTGCCCCCTTAACTTTTAGCAAGCCTCTGTAGTTGGAAACACCAGGCCCTTGATCATGTTTCTGTAGCTACGTGATCAAGGTCACATCGCCCGCCTTGGCTGATTAGTTCCCCCGAATTACTGGCCATCAAAGGTTGTTTTTCTCTCTCTGCTTACCATGCATGTTGACACAGAGCTTATTATCCATGTTCCGGTGGCTAGTTTCATGCGGAGAGCGAATCGGGATGGCAAGAACTCTGTCCGTGGAAAATGCTCAGAATGTTTAGAATTGCAACACTGTTTGAGGCTAAAATGGCCCAATCTGGGATACGTTGCTGCTTTTAAAAGATTGCATTTGCTTCTGCAGCCCAGATAGCCTGGCGGATAGCTCGTTATAGGGTGGGGTGGAGCTTCTACGGTGTCAGTTTGGTGATTAAATATGTGAAACTCTTTTGAGTTTCTTCTGGCGGTTCCCTCCCTGCGAGAAGCGAAGTTGCAGGCAGAGGGCCTTCTCGGTAGTGGCGCCCTCCCTGTGGAATGCCCTCCCATCAGATGTCAAGGAAATAAACAACTATCTGACTTTTAGAAGACATTTGAAGGCAGCCCTGTTTAGGGAAGTTTTTAATGTTTGATATTTTACTATGTTTTATATATGCTGAAAGCCGCCCAGAGTGGCTGGGGAAACCCAGCCAGATGGGCAGAGTATAAAGAAAACAACAACAACACTCAAGGAAGCACTATATAGATGCAAAGTATTTTGTATAATTAGTATTTATGTTATAAGGTAAATGTGCAGTTTCCCCTGGGTTTCCTCTAAATCCCAGGCAAAGAGTTTATACAGTTGTACCTTGGAAGTTGAACGGAATCCATTCCAGAAGTCCGTTCGACTTCCAAAGCATTCGGAAACCAGGGCTTTGACTTGCAAGGCATTCGACTTCCAGGGTACGACTGTATCTACATGAGCAAAAGCAGGCATTCATCAGTTGGACTTACATTTAATACTGTTTTTAGTGTCTGGTTTGCTCTAAGGTAGCCGTGGAACGCACAACACATCTGACGCATTGCATTCCTTGCTAATGTAGCTGTTTTACAATGTTGTGTTAATATATTTATGGCTGCAAACATGGAAAATATTTGTATGTCCATAACGAGTAGGTTCTTCCGGTAACCTATAAGCATATTTAATACGCTTGTTTCATAATAAAAGAAACTTTTCCAGCAACCATTTCCTGAAACAGCTGTGCAGGTTTGCATTCCCACCACGTCTGGACGTATGGTGTTGTTAACCCCCTTTGTGTGTCCCCTCTCCCTGTCTCGAGACAGGTCTATAACCTGACTCAGGAGTTCTTTCAGAGTGGTAAACCAGTCAATGCTGAGAGCAAGAACAGCGTGGGCGTCTTCACGCGAGATGTCGTGCGCAAGCGCATCAAAGCCGATCCGGACGACTCGGAGACGATCAGGAGGCTGAAACTTGCCATGATCCAGCAATACCTTAAGGTACGGACAGCGATGGCGGGGTTTGCTTGAGACGTTGCAGCACCATATAACATAGGCTGGCAATAGCAAGTTGGCACGTGGCTGAGATTTTCAAAACCCCATTTGTGGAATTCTCTCCCCGAGGCGATTTGACTGGTGCCTTCATTCTACACCTTTAGGTGCCAGGTGAAAATGTTCCTCTTTAACCAGGCCTTCATTGCCCCTTTAAAATCTGTTGTTGGGCAGAGGAGTTACTAGGTTGTCCTTGTCTTTATTCCTGTTACGAATTTTGTGTTTTTTCTGTTGTGATTTTCTGTTGTAAGCCGCACTAGGAGAAGAACAGCCCCCATCTGAAAGCCCTTCTTCTCTGCCTGCTTTTCCCTAGGTGGAGAGTTGCGAGAGCAGCTCCCACAGCATGGACGAGGTGTCGCTCAGCGAATTCGGGGAGTGGACCGAAATCCCCGGGGCCCACCACATCATCCCGTGCGGCTTCATGAAGATCGTGGAGATCCTCTCCCGCGCCATCCCGGAGTCGGTCATCCAGCTGAACAAGCCGGTCAAGTGCATCCACTGGAACCAGTCGGTCAGCAAGGAGATCGAGGGGGTGGCCGACCACAACAGCGACCGCACAGGGGAGCGGGACATGGGCTACCACGTCTGCGTGGAGTGCGAGGACTGCGAGTTCATCCTGGCTGACCACGTCATAGTGACGGTGTCCCTGGGGGTGCTGAAGAAGCACCACGAGAACATGTTCCACCCCCGGCTGCCCGAGGAGAAGGTGATGGCCATCCAGAAGCTGGGCATCAGCACCACGGACAAGATCTTCCTGGAGTTTGAGGAGCCCTTCTGGAGCCCCGAGTGCAACAGCATCCAGTTTGTGTGGGAGGACGAGGCCGAGGCTGAGAGCCTCACCTACCCCGAGGGGATGTGGTACAAGAAGATCTGCAGCTTCGACGTCCTCTACCCGCCCGAGCGCTACGGCCACGTGCTGAGCGGCTGGATCTGCGGGGAGGAGGCCCTGATCATGGAGAAATGTGACGATGAAACCGTAGCAGAGACTTGCACTGAGATGCTGCGTAAATTTACAGGTCTGCGGCTGCCCCCACTGCCTTTGCGTTTGGGTCTGGAGAGCGGAAAGGTCTGGGCCAGGTGGGGTGGGAGGCAACACATTTAGAGCTGTCATGACTTTCCCAGAGAATCATGGGAAGTGTAGTTTACTAAGGATGCTGAGGATTGCTGCTCTGTGAGGGTTCTCCTAGCAACTCTCAGCATCCTTCACGAACCACAGTTCCCAGGGTTCTTTGCGGGGAGCCATGATGATTAAAGTGGCACAGGACTGCTTTAAAGGTCTGGTGTGGATGCGACCATGGTAAAATAAGGATGTGGGTTAATGTGTCATGCTCAGATTTTAGCTTTTCTACACACTTAAAGGGTTGCCTTAGGCAAACATATGTCTCAGCCTCAGTTCACCATGCTTCATTAAAGGGGTGGTACTAATTGCAGGTGTGCAAAGCTCTGCAATTGAGTTCTGCCTTGGTTCGTCATTATTGATCTTCTCATTACTTAGGACTCTTGGTAAATTTCAGGGGACCCTGGCGCGCAGCTTGGAAAATGCTGCCATGGCTCCTCCTGGGAAAATTATCCCATGAACTTCGCCTGCGGACAGGGTCAGAGCTGGACTCTGTCATCTTTTCCATTCGTGATCACTTGTGCTTGGTGCCCCTTTCATCCCAGAAACTATTTATCTAGGGGGACTTTGATTTCCCCCACATGTTAGCATAATGGATTATTTGGATTTGCTGTCTAAACACCCCGAATTTCAGGCAGCCTACGAGGCATTGACAACTGCGGCTCTTTGTAAACCTGATTAAAGTGGTGCCTCGTTCAAAACAACTCAGTTTCTTGTACACAGCCTTTGTCGGCTAAGCCCTCGGATGTTAGGTGCCTGGATTTCAGGGGAGCTAGAAGCTTTCAAGTTCACAGGATTGCTGTATCTTCTGGCTGCTGCCCAACCGTTCAGGAGCTCATGGGTGCAACCGTGCCTCTCGCCCTTTTGCCCTCTGTGTGTGTGTTCTCCTGAGGATGATTTTAGCCATGCTAAAATCCGAGCTCTCCTTCTGATCTTTGCACGTTGCTGGCCTTCTGTGATATTACTCAGGTGGCTTCAGCATTGGAATTGACCCACACCTTTGGTCTGAGGTCAATAATCAGTTGCCACAAATGTGATTGCCAGCAGGCCACCCATCTTCTGAGTGTGGTGATCTCCTGTTCCATTGCAGAGTGGGGCTCATCTGAGGAAAAGGCTGTAGTTCAGAGATAGAACATCCACTTTGCAACATCCAGGTTCAGCCGCCAGCATCTCCTAGCAGGACTGCAAATGTCTCCTACCTGAAAACCTGGAGAGCCGCTGGTCTGACCTGATAGAACGCAGTTTCCTATACAGTCATACCTCGGGTTGAAGTAGCTTTGGGATAAGTGTTTTCAGGTTGCGCGCTGCTGCGACCCGGAAGTTACTTCTGGGTTTTACCGCTCGCGCATGCACAGACGGTCAAAATAACGTCCCATGCATGCACAAAAGCGGCGAATCGTGACCTGCGCGGACGTGGGTTGCGTTCGCTTCTGGATGTGAACGGGGCTCCGGAACGGATCCCGTTCACATCCAGAGGTACCACTGTATTCCTTTCTGCAGTTGGAACAAAACTTAAATAATCATATAAACAATAGATTAATCTCATGTTAATCAACGGACAATAAAATTAAACAGTGCACTGATAATTCACAATAAAATCTGAGCATAACACTTCGCTGCTGCAAACACAGCGGAAACAACCCGAGAGTTGAAAACTCAACTTGATTGGCGTAAGGGGTGAGTGCCTCAGGTTGTCTTTGTCGGTGGGAAAGATCATCGTGTCTCACTGGTCAGCTACTGCCAGTCTTAAGATGTGCAGTCCCCGGTCCAATAAGTGCTGACCTGCCACTGTCTGCCTGCTTCAGTGGGTGCTTGGAGTTCAGCGTATCACTTGACAAGAGAACTGAATTTCTGCACCAGCCAAAAAAAGAACCCAAAAGTTTGACTTCACCCCCAAAGGTGCACCTCTCTGTTGTCTCCTGAGACAGATGGATGATAAAAATACACGAGCATAGTCAAGGTGGCCCCTTTGAAACTAAGTCTCAAAAAACCCTGAAACGGTACCCCATCCCAGGAGATGGCAGAAAATGCACCTGCTCCAGTCCCTCAATCCAGTCCCTCAATACTCCAACCCAAGATAAAAACTCATAAAGTCATACCTCGGGTTGAAGTAGCTTTGGGATATTTTTGGGTTGCGCACTGTGGCGACCTAGAAGTAACGGAGTGCGTTACTTCCGGGTTTCGCCGCTCGCGCATGCGCAGACTGTCAAAATGACATCACGCGCATGCATGGAAGCGGCGAATCGTGACCCGTGCACGTGCAGATGCGGGTTGCGTTCGCTTCTGGATGCAAACCGGACTCCAGAACGGATCCCATTCGCATCCAGAGGTACCACTGTACTAGAAACATGGATTGCAGTACACTGATTTCCTCCAGAACACGACTCTTTCAATTAATCCACCCAGTGTTTATCTGAACCACCAGGAGTCACTATCAGTGAAGTGTGTGCACATTTTCACAGGGCCATGCAATATATATCTGGTTAGCTGAACTTGGATTATTTTTCCAGGCCTCTTCCCCTTACGACTTTGCGCCTTCTCTTTCGGTCTAGGGAATCCGGACATTCCGAAACCTCGGCGGATCTTGCGATCCTCGTGGGGCAGCAATCCTTACTTCCGCGGCTCCTATTCCTACACTCAAGTTGGGTCTAGCGGAGCGGACGTGGAGAAACTCGCAAAGCCACTGCCTTATACTGAGAGCTCCAAGACGGTTGTAAGTATTATCTCGGAAACGAACCCCTTGAAAAGCCTCTGCCGGAAAGAACGCTCATTTGAAAAAACGGGCCATTGGGTAGGAAAAAAATCTGCAACGAATTATTAAAACTGGGAAGAGTGCAATTTTTTTTTTTGTCTGGGGTGCAGTAGAAAGGACTAAGGGCAAACGGTCACTTTCTGTCCTATTGCCAATATTAAACGAATTAATCGACTTTAAAGCCTTTCTAGTTAGCATTTAAGACAGCTTGAGAATTGTAGGCCGGATCCTCCAGTCCCTAAATCTTAGCCCCAAAGAACATGCAAGGGCGATTGCAGGATCCAAGCTACGCGTTGGTCGATGGAACCACTGGGCTAAGCTGTCTTCATAGCATTTATTTAAGATAGTATTTTTATGCTGCCATTTTATAAACTATCAGGGCAGTGTGGTGTAGTAGTAGTAGTAGTAGTAGTAGTAGTAATTAAGGTTTAATAAGTTAACTCTTTATATTTGGACAACTTTTCTGCTGTACTTTCTTGGAAGGAGAAAAATAATCATTTCCTTAATAACAATTTAAACAATTCATTTAACTATGTATCCGTGTTTGTTAACTGATTTGGTTAAACAATTTAAAAACAAAACAAAACTCTGACTGAGTTTTAGCACAGATGCAGAACTTAAAACAAATCCTTATTTCCTGATGAATGGCCTTTGGACTATAATGTAACTTAAATAGAAAATATCTTTAGAAAGATTTTTCCTCCAAAAGCATTTTATTTTAAAAATCCAATTTAAATTAAAAAAATAATCTTTGGTTTTATCCACCCTGATTTCCTATGCAGTTTTTTACACGTTTTACGCAAATTTTGACTTCCCATGTCATGTTACAGCAGTTTTTTTGCACCCCTCGTTTTTGGAATTTGAAAAGTTCAACACACCCCACTCAGGCAGTAGTATCCTTTGCCCAAGGCGTTCAGGTCTCTCCCCCCCCCAAAAAAAACCCCCCACCATGCGTTCACGGAACATGGTGCGTTTGTGTTTGTGTGTGTATCTGCAAAGGGCTGTTGTCTTTCAATACGCCTTTGGCTCTGCACCAGTGGCATAGCGTGGGGGGTGCAGGGGGGGCCGGCCGCACCGGGCGCAACATCTGGGGGGGCGTGCTCGCACTCGCAGCTCTCTGCCCCTACCTGGCTCACTCACTCTCTCTCACTGCAGTGCTGGCTGTGCGAATCCAATCCGAGCCGCTGGGTCGCCGCCCACTGTGGAGGGGGTGGGTGCCAGGCGTGCGGTGCGGAGAGAGAGCGAGGGCCGCTGGGTCGCCGCCCACTGTGGAGGGGGTGGGTGCCAGGCGTGCGGTGCGGAGAGAGAGCGAGGGCCGCTGGGTCGCCGCCCACTGTGGAGGGGGTGGGTGCCAGGCGTGCGGTGCGGAGAGAGCGCGAGGGCCGCTGGGTCGCCGCCCACTGTGGAGGGGGTGGGTGCCAGGCGTGCGGTGCGGAGAGAGAGCGAGGGCCGCTGGGTCGCCGCCCACTGTGGAGGGGGTGGGTGCCAGGCATGCGGTGCGGAGAGAGAGCGAGGGACTATCAGGGGGAGGGACAGTGCAGCGGCCGCCCAGCGCAGCGCTGAGCGCGGGAGAGAACCACACCAGACCAGACCAGGCAGCAGCAAGAAGAAGCTGGCAGCGGCGGCAGGTTAGGGGTTAGGGGGCGCAAATTACTTGCCTTGCCCCGGGTTAGGGGGCGCAAATTACTTGCCTTGCCCCGGGTGCTGACAACCCACGCTACGCCGCTGCTCTGCACATCTCATGAAAGCCCTTTATTGCATGAATGGAGAAGCGCCAGCATCCATGCAGTTCCGTGTGTGTTTTTGCCTATGTCCAGTCCTTGCCTCCCCCTGACATTTTTATCTCTCCAAATACCTTTTCCTGACGTGTGTTCTCTCCCCCTGTCCCCAACCTCTCCCCTCCCTCCCTCCCTCCCTGGATCTCCAGCCTATGCAGGTGATGTTTTCGGGCGAGGCCACCCACAGGAAGTATTATTCCACTACCCATGGTGCTTTGCTTTCTGGCCAGAGGGAGGCAAACCACCTCCTTGAAATGTACCAAGACCTCTTGCAATGCAGAAACTGAGGGGGGCCTGAACCACTAACTCGTGATTCCTTTTACGGTTGTGTGTTTAAAGAAGTCTTTCTTTCTTTTTTCCTTTTCTAAAAAAACAAACGAATTAAAAAAACAATACATTTTTATCTTTTTATATCTCTATATCTCTAGAAAAGTCTTAATTCTTTTGACCCGTAGTTGACTGATGGTAGTTTATTTCCATGTACTGTATCTGTCAACAGGAAAAGCTTGCTCTTCCTGTCTGAGTGAAAGCTATCTCTCTTTTTCTTTTCTTTTGGTGTAATTTTGATTTCTGATTGCACATCTGGTGCTTCTCTCCCCCCCCCCACCTCTTCTCCAAGTCCCTGGTATTGTAAGTGCCTTCTATATTTCAATAAATGTTGTCATAACCACTGTGCTCTCGTGTGGCTCCATTTCAGCGGGGCTTGTCCGAGACTAGATCACACTCGTCAGCGTTTTTCTAGGTCAAAGCATAGCAACCAAAGGAGGAGGGCAACCAAAATGGTCAAAGGCCTGGAAACGATGCCTTATGAGGAACGGCTAAGGGAGCTGGGCATGTTTAGCCTGGAGAAGAGGAGGTTAAGGGGTGATATGATAGCCATGTTCAAATATATAAAAGGATGTCACATAGAGGAGGGAGAAAGGTTGTTTTCTGCTGCTCCAGAGAAGCGGACACGGAGCAATGGATCCAAACTACAAGAAAGAAGATTCCACCTAAACATTAGGAAGAACTTCCTGACAGTAAGAGCTGTTCGACAGTGGAATTTGCTGCCAAGGAGTGTGGTGGAGTCTCCTTCCTTGGAGGTCTTTAAGCAGAGGCTTGACAACCATATGTCAGGAGTGCTCTGATGGTGTTTCCTGCTTGGCAGGGGGTTGGATTCGATGGCCCTTGTGGTCTCTTCCAACTCTATGATTCTATGATTCAATGGCATCCTCCGTGGTGATCCTGTGGCGCATTGCTTTCTTTGCCGAATTTGGTTTTGCAAGTTCAGCCTTGCAGTTGCTGGAAGCCACAGGTGGGAAGAGCTGCAGTTAGGTCCTTTTTGCATGCTTGCTGCAGGCATCTGGTTGGCCACTGTGAGACCAGCATACTACTGGACTAGTTGAACCATTGGCATGATCCCGCAAGGCTCTTCGCATGTTCCTGTGCCCCTTTGTCTTGGAAACGGAAGGTTGGGCCCTGTATATGGGTATAAACCGTGCCCGGATAATCTCTCTCTCTCCATCTAACCATTAAGTGTTGTGCCTAGACTCACAAAAGCGGCTTGAACGGCTCCTCCAGCAAGCTAGGTAAAGGTAAAGGGATCCCAGACCATTAGGTCCAGTCGCAGACGACTCTGGGGTTGCGGCGCTCATCTCGCTTTATTGGCCGAGGGAGCCGGCGTACAGCTTCCGGGTCATGTGGCCAGCATGACTAAGCCGCTTCTGGCAAACTAGAGCAGCGCACGGAAACGCCATTTACCTTCCCGCCAGAGCGATACCTATTTATCTACTTGCACCTTGACGTGCTTTCAAACTGCTAGATTTGCAGGAGCAGGGACCGAGCAATGGGAGCTCACCCCGTCACAGGGATTCGAACCACCAACCTTCTGATCGGCAAGCCCTAGGCTCTGTGGTTTAACCCACAGCGCCACCAGCAGGCTAGACAACACCTTTTGTGATGTTGTCCTGTTTGGGCTAGCTTAGTTCCCATAGCTGAAACACTGGCTATGAACAGCAGCTCTACTAGGGCTGGGCGATACCTGGTTTTCACCGTCGTGATATATCACTTCGCGATATACAGTGGACGCTAGGGTTGCAAACGTGATCCGTGCGGGATGCACATTTGCAACCCACAGCGCCATGTCTGTGCACACATGGGTTGCAATTCGGCGCTTCTGCGCATGCACAAAGCACGATTCAGCATTCTGCAAATGCGCAACCGCCGAAACCTGGAAGTAACCTGTTTCGGTACTTCCGGGTTTCGGCGGTCCGCAACCCAAAAAAACGCAACCTGAAGCGTCTATAACCCGAGGTATGACTGTACTGATATATCACAATGTCTGGAATAAGGATGGAGCTCTGTAGAGGCATTGGCTGGCTTCACGGTTTCCCCCGTATCGTGATATTTGCATAGCATTCACACATATACACATCTTGATTCACGATATATTGCCAGGTCAAAAAGATGAAACTGATATCATGATATGAACTTCAAACTGGTTTGGGATGAAATATCAATACATCGTCTAGCCTTGCAGCCCACCCTTTGGGGTTGCGCTGTGTGGCAAGCTGATATCCCTTTCTTTGACTCCTTCTGCTTTGCTTTTTGCAAGCAGATGAAACATCAGTCCAGGGAGGTGGCTGCCAGGGATTTACGGCATTGACGTTCTTCCTCTTGTTTCGTTGTTTATGAAGCAAGGCTCAGAAACGGCCCGCTTGCCTTTGTAGTCTCATCTCCCATAATCTGTTTCTATACTGCTTCCCCACAAGATGCCCGAAGCACCTCACTACATCTCCAAATGAATGGTGACAATTCAAAACATGTTAGAAATGGTGATCAGTAATCAGTAAACTCAAAAAATTGGTCTGTACAAAATTGTATGAAACGATGATTAGAATCAGCGAGAACTGCCTCTGTGTCGCATTGCTGCTGTCTCTTTAAAAAAAAAATAAAGTTCCTAATCTGGTTATAAAGCTTTGGCATTTCGAACCCTACCTGTGGTTCTCCTTTCGTGTCTCTCTCTGCCCCCGCCTTCTTTCTGTATAAGCAAATGTTTGCCAAGACACATGTTCCCATTCAACGGCGCGAGGCAAAAGTCAACACGGAAATCCGAGCTGTCGTAAGTAAATACATACTGAATGTCGAGCAGCTGTACAAGATCATCTCAACGTGGGCCGGGCAGCTAGAACTGGTAACGTCTCGTCGAGGCTTTTGTAACATGGTGTGCGGCAGCCTCCGGCCCAGGGTCCAAAAGCGGCTCACTATGGCTGTTGGGAGTGTGGTAACTCTTACTGCAGCAGTGTGCAGAAGGCAACAGTCTGGGCAAGACTGCTGGTTTGAAGGGCTAAAGGAAGTGGGAGCTGCCCAAATAAAACAATGGAGAAATCCAGGATTTTAGCGTCACTGGGGCTGGGCTAAAAGAAGAAGGAAACTTTCCTGCGGAATCTTTATTTTTTTTAATCAAGAGCATTCAAATTTTAAAGCCCAGCAGGTCTGCAGTCAAATCAATGAAGCATAAGTTTTCTTGTATTGCAGTAGGGACTGCCTCTCCTGGTATGCCCCACGGAGGACCTTTAGGTCCACAAATAACAACACTTTGGAGGTCCCAAGCCGCAAGGTGGTTAGATTGGTCTCAACTAGGGCCAGGGCCTTTTCAGTACTGGCCCCGACTTGGTGGAACGCTCTGTCACGGGAGACTAGGGCCCTGCGGGACTTGACATCTTTCCGCAGAGCCTGCAAGATGGAGCTGTTCCACCTGACCTTTGGTTTGGACTCAGTCTGACCCTTATGTTACCCTCCCCTTATGGTTTTTATTTATTATTAAAATGAGGCTGCATTTTAAATGGCATTTTAACCTGTATTTTAAATTGGTGCCCCCCCCCCCATTATGTTTTTACTGTAATTTTACTGGTGTTAGCCGCCCTGAGCCCGGCTCTGGCCGGGGAGGGCAGGGTATAAATAAAAATTATTATTATTATTATTATTATTATTATTATTAGGATGCTGGATTTGGGGCTGTGTGGGATTTCTTAAAGTAGGTAGCCCTTCATTGCAAGAAAGCTAGACCCACCTCAGCCTGCCTTCCACTGAAAATATTAGCAGGGAGCTGAACTAAAACTGGAATTGCTTGAAAGGTTTTTCTTACAGCCAGCAGAATATAAATTTCATCAAAATAAATGAATTTTTAAATGTCTTAAAACTTAATAATAATAGCATGAAAACGTTGGCAGCATTAAGATAAATTCAACAGTGTAAATAAGTTTTGATGAATGTAATAATGGAATACTGAATGGTTTAGTTTTTGTAAAATATGCAGGGATTTATGATATGCAGAATGAACCATGGAAAGAGAAGAAGGGAAGTCAATTGATACTTTAAGGATGTTTAAATGAGTATTCTAAATTGTAAAACAGAAAATTTAATTACACACAAACACACAGCAGCAACATCATCATCAGCAGCAGCAGCAGCAGCAACAGCTTAAGGCAAACAAGCAGAGATGCTTTTCACATAGTGAAAATTGGCTTGAATGTCATTGACTGATTGGGCATCTCTAGGCAGGGCTGGGAGAGAGACCCTCACCTGAGGCCCTGGAAAGCTGCTGCCAGTCCGTGTAGACAATACTGAGCTAGGTGGAGGAATGGCCTGACTCTGTGTTAAGGCAAAAGAGTGGAGGAATGACTTTTAACTATTCCTTGGTACAGCAGGAGAAGTTTCACCCGTCCTCTCGACTCCTCTCTATCCTTCCTCCTGATGAGCAAGAGGCATTGTTAAGTGTTCAAGGACACAATTCAGCTGGGCAAAGACCCTCAAGGAGAATCCAGAATATAGCCAGTGTCACAGTTGCAGAGGAACAGCAGCTGGGGATGCCCCAAGGGAAGAAGGCTCAGAGCCCAGGGATTGGTGGTGGCAGTGGTGTAGCTTGGGTTGTCAGCACCCGGGGCAAGGCAAGTAATTTGCGCCCCCTAACCCGTGGATTAGCGCCCCCTAACCCTAACCCCCAGATGTTGCACCCAGTGTGGCCGGCCCCCCCTGCACCCCCCACGCTACGCCACTGGGTGGTGGGACAACAATGAGTGGTTGGAGGGAGAAGGCTGGAAGGAGGAGGTGTCGGAAGTTGAAGAGGTAACAGGACTTGGTGAGAAGGGAGAGTCTGCAGCATGGAGAAGTCCAGAATCAAAATCGGGAGAGTGGCCGGGGGGAGGTGAAGAGGCAGAGATGAGTCAGGCTGGTGAAGAAGTCAAGGTGTCTCCTGTTCCTGCTGCGACCTCCCTGCTGGTCTCCCAGGCCCATGAGAGGCATGAAG